ATGGACAACAATTGTGATTGCTGAGAGTTTAGAGTAAGGAAAAATAGCTTTTTTAAGCTTGTTCGAAGTTTAAGTATTAGGTTGACAAGCTATAAACGATCGTTTTAAGCAACAACTTGTTTATTTTATAGAACGCAAAAAAAAACATTAATCTAAAAGGTATTCTCCATTATTATCGATGACTTCTTGCCATCTTTGACGCAATTCCTTGATACCATTCTCAAAAAAACTGAGCGTCCTTCTGACTGAGTAGAAACTGAGTAGAAATCAAGTGCGTTTTTGACTTGTGCATGATCATCAAAAAAGTTTTCCATAGAGGAATTGCTTTAACGATCGAATGGTAATCTGAGGGTGCTAGGCCGGGTGAATAAAGCGCATATGGTAGAAGTTTCCAGCCAAGCTCGTCGAGTTTTTTGTGAGTGACTTTGGCTGTGCGCGGTTTTGTGTTGTCTTGCAAAAAATGGACCTTCGACGGATTGATGCCCAATTTCTTAAATGAGTCACTAACTTTCATTAACTGTTTTGAGTAGAGATCAGCATCGATGTTATGCATAGGATTCACCAACTCATAGAACACCAAACCTCTGGAATTCCACCAGCACCTGCTCTTAGCTTAAGCACTTTACAAGATTGAATATTAGGTTGGCAAGTTATAAACGATCGTTTTAGGTAAAAATTTGTTTATTTCATAGAACGCAAAAAAAACATTAATCCAAAAGGTATTCTCCATTATTATCGATGCCTTCTTGCCATCTTTGGCGCAATTCGTTGATACCATTCTCAAAAAAACTGAGCGTCCTTCTGACTGAGTAGAAACTGAGTAGAAATCAAGTGCGTTTTTGACTTGTGCATGAGCATCGAAAAGTTTTCCATAGAGGAATAGCTTTAACTATCGAATGGTAATCTGAGGGTGCTAGGTCGGGTGAATAAGGCGCAGATGGTAGAAGTTTCCAGCTAAGCTTTCCTTTTTTGTGAGTGACTTTTGCTGTGTGCGAGTTTGCGTTGTCTTGCAAAAAATGAACCTTCGACGGGTTGATGCCCAATTTCTTCAATGAGCAATGAGCAATTTAATTCAAAATAATCTTCAACTCATCCCCGCGAAAAAAAATCATTGAACAAAACAAGCGATCGTTTATAACTTGCCAACCTAATACTTAAAGTTTAATTCTGTCTTTCAGTATTGAAGATTTCGAACAAGCAGAAATTTATGAGACTTTAATGAACTCGGCTGGGATACTCATTCTTGGGATTGGCACCTCCAAAAATGAAGAGAATTATGCTAAGATTAACGAAACTTGGAATGAGTTTAAGGTTTGATCTTTGTTGGAATTAATCCAGGCGTCTTTAGCTTGTTGATGGACTTTCGTTGAACCCCGAAAATAGCGACTCAGACTGTGTGACAATCGCCAACTACCTCTGCGAGATGGCCTGTGCGCACTCACCAAAGGAAAACCCAAGTAAATTTAACATTAAAATGAAGTTACACTTGATTGTAACCTCTTACGGTACAAGTTGACCTAGTTGCAACAACTCTTGCCGCAACAACGATTGGCCCAATTCTTCCACCCACCGTTCAGCCAGGCATTCTCCCTCAAGGACCTATCACTCCGGAGACTTGGCCCTACATCACTATTGTGTTAGGTTGGTTTTTGAAAAGGCAATTTAGCAAAGCGTATCTCAATAGATACATCCGCTGAACTGAACAGTAGCACTGCTTTGAATGATGAAGGATTCGAAGTGGTGAGTAGAAGAGCCGATTTCTGATTACTGATATCTGATTTCTGATTACTGATATCTGATTTCTGATTTCTGATTACTGATTTCTGATTACTGATATCTGATTACTGATTTCTGATTACTGATTTCTGATTTAGCTCCGAATATTCCTGGTCAACACTTTAATCAAGTATCAAATTGGGGTCGATTATACGCTTGTTTCTCTTGTGACTTTTGATACACAATCAAAGGTGAATTGGTTTTTGAGAAAGTGAATCTTTTAGCTTCCCAGGTTGAGTTCCACTTCAATAGTCACCCCGATTGGCCGTCATTGTACAAAGCGTTGACTGTAGATTGGCAATATGGTCCAGAGAATAATCATGGGAAGATGAAAAACATTGATGAGTTGGTTTTACTTGAAGGTTTTACTTACAGCTTAAAAAAGGGCTTTTTCCAAAATCCATTTAGCGCTATGGATCTCGTTCTGTCTGATGTATATCAAGCGATAAATGGGGCTAAAAGTGACGGCAATATTGTGTGGATTTTCACGACTGGACCGTTAGAAAACGAATCTCAAATCTAATCCACTGATGTTTAGTGAAAATATAAACCTCACTTCAAGATATCACAATGCAATGAGTGTTTTGGGTCAAGGAAATGTGAAAGTGAAAGTGATTGGGCTGGGAAATATTACGGATGATTTCATGACGAATATTGCGACTGATTATACAATTGTCAATGAGTATACTGATCCGTTGAATGGAATGGCCTCTGCGACGGAGCCGATTGGACCGGTTCTCTATCAAGAATCGACACAAAGTGGGTGATGGTTGATGAGAGGACTATTGTCTTTGGATGAGAGGGTTATTGTCTTTGCTAGCTAATATGACTCATGGTAGACTGGAATCTGAGTACTATGCTAGACTAGTAGACTTCTACAGGGTCCGAGAAAAGTATTGTCGATTTTCCAACCATCATATCTTTTTTTCAATTCGCAGTTTGATGAGCTTCCGGATGTTTGGCGTGTTTACCGATCGAGGTCTTCCTTTTTTCGCTTCTCCTTGACGTGTCCTTTCTCTTGCAATTGTTTGGCAAGTCGTTGAACAGTCCTGATGTTGGTTTTGAGCTTTCGCGAGATGGCCGCCTTCGACCCTTCGGCTTTCAAAAGCATATCATCGCTTCTCGCTGCATATCATCGCTTCTCGATGAGGGCAAGCTTGCATTTCTAAAAATACACATTGAATGCTATGCACCATTCTAAAGAGGAAAAAAAAACTGAACAAAATTCATGTTTTACACAACGTAAAAGGATGCTTTAAATCGCATAAAAGTTAGTTCAAAGAGACGCGACAATACTTTTCTCGGACCCTGTACACCAAGGATTTCGGTCTTTCTCATTAGCATGGGTTTAACTGATGCTTCAGATGGCCCACCAACAATTCCAACAATGAAAGCCGACATGTTATTGGCAATCGATCAAGAAATGCTACCAACTTTATTTGACTCTCTGCAAAATTTCTTGCAAAAGTTTATAGCGGTAATTGTTTTTTCTCTACTTGATTTCTTGACCTTTAGCCTTTCACTATTGGTCCTGACAAATGTCGTTTCGCAATTGTGCTCTTTAATTCACAAAGCATTCAGCAATTCTATCAATTCACTGATGGACAAGACGCTGACGTATTACTTTTCAGAGTTTATACTTTCCAATTTTTATTGGGTTGGTGAATTGAAAACTCAGGGACTTTGAACTAAAATTTATTCAATATAAAAGAGCGGCACTCTAACGCAGAGCATTCGGCACTGAAACGCATAAACTTCTTTTGGTGCAAATCGGGCTTGGGGTCACTTTCGGGTTTCTCGCCTGGCCCCACCTATTGCCGCTTCCACCGAGGGTTCACAGATAAAACCCATTTCTCATCTCCTGTCACAATTCGATGAAGAAAGGATTTCCTTTCGTATCGTGAGAGATGAGCGGCACTGATGGAGGCGCGCTGCCACTTCTGGGAATCATGGGGCACCCAAGTCCCAAGTTTCGATTTAAATCCAAGTGTATGAAGGTGCCTTAGCACTGTAGCATGATCAACCCCTAACTCTTCTCCAAATTCACGCGATGATACCCGATGTCGTTGGTAATGAGTTCGAGTAATTTGGAATCATCCAGTTGGGGTGCCGCTCCACGGCCCTCTGCATCTTTCAAAGATTTGTCCCCAGATCGAAACTTGGCAAACCATACTCGACACGTTCTTTCGGAAGGTGAATTTCCCTCATATATCTTTTTAATATTAGCAGCTGCCAAGTCTGCACTGTGCTCTTGTGGGAACTCATGAAGCATGACATGACGAATATGTCCCGGTGGCAGATTGTCGAGTGCAATAGAAGAAGTAAAGAAAAATACCAAAAAATAAATAGCTGGAAGTATAATTTTTTCGCAATAATTTGAGGAAATGTGGAAGTAACCAAACCCCCTTTCAGCTGGTTCAATGCTGTTGTTTTTTTTTTATCTGCGAGTCCCGCGGAATAGTCGCCAGTTTTCAATTCACCAATCCAATAGTAGACCTTTCTAATGGAGCAATATATAGCAATGTATCTGTTACGTCCGAATCCGATCAGGCGTCCGAATCCGATCAGGCGTCCGGATCCGGCTGTTGATTATCTTGTGGACGTCCTAATCCGACCACAATCCGATAAATGCCAATTGATCCCGCTTGATTCATCGAATTTTTTATAATTTTTCAACTATGATGGTTTCACCATAGCCTCAGTCATCTTAACAAATGTAGAATAGAATTAAGATTTTAAGACGAAATTTTACGGTATATATGAAGTAACCAAACCCCCTTTCAGCTGGTTCAATGCTGTTGTCTTTTTATCTGCGAGTCCTGCGAAATAGCCGGCAGTTTTCAATTCACCAACCCAATAATTAATACCATCCTTACTGTCTCTAGGAATTGATTCCAGAAGGATAAACAAAGAAATTTAGACCGTTTTGGATAAAATTAAAGCGTTGACACCAATCAACAGCGCTAGAAGCGTTCAAACAGCCGACTACCTCACGTGAGTACTAATCGAGTCTTGCTTAAATATTCTGCTTTTGATAAAAGATCAAGTTTCCAGAGCTCTGAACTTTATCAACAACAACATATCATTATCATCAAATGGTAAACGTAGTTCATCACCGAGTTTTGCGACCTTCTTCACCGCCAGCATTGACAAGTTGATAGATTTTAACGTTAAATCATGGGTTATCATGGGTTTTTAGTAGCTACACCATTTCGGACGTTGTGATGAATAAAACAAAAGGTTTCTATGTGACGCAAGTGTTATGCCTAGCCAATGGTGCTATTCCCACATTCGCAAAGAAACTGGCTTCTGCGGTTGGTTCACAAAGAAAAACCTTACGACTAAACCGTTTTCTAAAACTTGTCAACTTTTGAAAGCTATCATAACACTTTTAAGCTTATAGTTAGCTTTTTAATCTATCTGTTTTTAATCTTTAACCATCTTTAATCTTTTAATCATCTACATCAACTTTCCTTGAGAGTGCTAACTCTCAAAATTGAGTCTACGAAGGGAAGTACCCCAGCTCCTCACCGCCGATTGCCAGACCAGTACTTGTATACAAAGCGAGCCATACATTCTACTTGTACTTGTATACAAAGCGAGCCATACATAGCGAGCTTTCCACGGTTCAAGTCCTCGCCGCGCAAACTTTTTTGCTTTTTTTGATCTGAACGAAACTAATACGAATATTTTGTTAGATAAAAGTTGGGTTTTCAGAATTTCAGAATCAATAACTGTTAACTGAACTTATTTTCGATTATCTTCTTTGCTAATTTTCATTATTTATTGAAATATAGAAAGGGGAATGAAAAGAAACAAAATACATTCGTTTCGTTAAAATCAAAAAAGCAAAGAAAGTTACTATGCGAAGACTCGAAAGGGGTACAGCAAAGCAAAGCTCGCTTTGTACACAAGCACACACAAGCACAAGCGTTATCCACTAGACCACCAGCTCACAATGACACCGACCGAGAAAAGCCTTTTAGCCAAGGTTTTGAAAACTTTTATACCAAATATAGCTAATTTTCTAAATTTTTCGGCATTTTGATCAGCTTAGTCGGTTCTAGAATTTCTTGGGCTTCTAGCGATCAACGTTGGCGAGCTGGGGTACTTCTCTTATCGGCTGGGGTACTTCTCTTATTGACGAGCTGGGGTACTTCTCTTTCTGAAATATGTAAGAGCTGAGGCTAGATTACGGTAATTTTCAAAAGTTGACGCTTAAGAAAAGCTATGAGGCCTCTTTATTTAGGAGGGATATGCTTACAGCATTGGTGACCAGCTCTTGGTCTGGTCAACCTCAGCCACCGGCAAAAAGTCACCCATGCAATCGTTTTTCACTAATCTTCAACTTGGTAAGCTTTCAAGGAGTACTCTGACAGAAAATTTCAGAAAACCAAATTGCTGTCAAAGATGAGACAATCGCAACAACGGATGTGAAAGCCGATATCATTTTTGTGCTCGATTTAGCGAACTTGAATGACAACGCCAACTTCAACTTGGTAAATAGGAATGAACCGGTCATTCCCAATTTTTCAGATGATTCAATACTTCAACGATTTTACCGCGAAGTTCACAATTGGGCAATTCAACGCTCAATTTGCTGGCATGTCGTTTGGAAGTCAGATACAAGATCAGTTCACGTTGTTGACATGCGGAAAGAATCTCACTCTGGGATGCATAGAAAATGAGTTAAGCAAATGGAAATCTTCAGCTGCAAACGATTCTGGTTATCTTGTACAGTAAGTTTAGCCATTTAACTTGTACTTGTATTGTTCAGAGCACTGAAATCATTGAACGATGATCAACTGATGTCTGCAAGTGGCTGGAGACAATCGAAGACTTATATTCTGATATTTTCAGCTCAAGCACAGTGAGTAGATCTAGCAAAAGCTTAGAATTGTTTGCAAGTTCAATAGTTTAACCATTCTTTAACTAACTAACTAACTAATTCACTAATTAACTAACTAACTAACTAACTAACTAACTAACTAGATAATTCGCTAGCCAACTGCCTAATTAACTAACCAACTCTATAACTAATTAACCAACCAACTAACTAACTAGCTAATTCACTAATTAACTAACTAACTAACTAGCTAACCAACTAGCTAACCAACTGTCTAACTAACTAACTAACTAAATAGCTAACTAATTCAGTCCCACCTGGAACATGGATGAGCTAAACGAAGCTTGTCTGCTTCTCCACAACAAAAACGGATTTATTTACTATCTCGACATGGCAAATGGAGTTATGCCAGCTGATATGAAGAAATATTTTGATGGAAACTTCTCAATCAGTGACCCGAGTCACTTAAAACTTAATTCAACAGCTGATCAAGATTTAGTCCTCGCTGTCACATCAAGTTGATAAATAGAGTATTCTTTTCAAGTTTCTTTTAGGTTACCATGCCTTCCAATATCCAATACCAATGAATTTGTCAAATGTCATTGCTGATTTTGTTTTTATAGTCGATCTTTCGGATCCTGGAATTTGGACAGAGGTGAGATCTTCAGTTTCATGAAAATCTCATCTTTCTTTGAGGTCCAAGCAGTACTCTCAAATCTTATCATTGGAATGAATATCAGCGCCTATAACTCTCAGGTTAACCTCATTTCATAACAAAATGACAAGAATTACAATTTATAGATGTCTTTGATCACATATAATGAAAATGGAGTTATATCAGACTCGACTTTTGTTTTGAATCAATATCTAAATGTTGTTGATTTAAATAAAACCATTTCGAACATCAATCAATCAACCTCCACGTCAACCACTGATTTTGGAAAAGCTTTGACTTATCTGGAAGATCGAATCTTTAGCAATCCATTCAGTGGCTATCGCCAGACAATCACTTTCCTCACTTTCATCAACACAAATCCAAGGTACTTTGAGGAGCCAAAACAATCATCAAACAGCTTTAAGCCTCACACAACCTTTGACAAGTTTTGTGAATATATTCACCAAACTGCAATTATATCCATTTTTGTATTTCTATGGATTCAATATGGCTCAAACAGATCCGAATACTGTGGATGAAGTTTTGTTAGCGGTATCTTTTATACTTTGACTGTTCTAAAGGGTATTTCTAGTCGGACTAGGCTAGTACTGGCCCTAACCAGTGCTAGCCTAGCCCCACTGGCCTGGCTTGGAATCTAGCCTGGACTTAGTCTGGAGCCTGGTCCAGGCCAGGATCTTGATTAAGCCTGGACCTGGGCTTAAGCCTGAACTTCTCCCGGACTTGGACCTGGTCTAGGCCTGCCTAGGATCTGTCCTTGATCTGGCTGGGTTTGGGTTTGGATTAGCCTGGGTTTGGATCTGGTCTTGACCAGGATCTCATCTTACTTCTGGTCTGGAAAAGGCCCGATCTGGATTACAGGAATCCTGCCTAGCCCTTCTCCAATCCGACCCTTTAGGTTTTCCCTCCAACAAGAACAACGTACATCATCCAAACACTTGCATTGATCCCCGATACTTCAGTGGTCAACAAATTTTTTAGCTACATCACTGACAGTTCAGATCTAGTTTTCAAACATTTTATATGTTTATTCAGCATATACGCTTTTCGTCACTCAACCAACGACCACAATGGAGACAAAGATCACCACCACTGGTAAGGGAGTAAAGAACTGTCCGTACAACAGACTACAATAGACGACTAGCAAAGAACTGCCCAGACTATATCAGACTACTGGCAAAGAGCTGTCCCGACACCAGACTTTTTCACACTTCAAATTTTAGGTTACACTTGTCCTGGATGCAACCCGCCAGCCTCAAGCATTATCCTACTGATAGCAAAGAGCTATAGCAACCGTATGTGACTCTAGCTGCAACAGTTTTTTCATTTTTCTTTCAGCTTTTTACACAAGCTCATGGTGGCTCAATCAAACCGTCTCGATGATCACTCAATTGAGTGAAAACTGGAGTAATTTTGACCGAATATCAATCCTCTCCTTTGATAGTGATGTCTACGTGGAAAAAGGTCTTCACAATATGAATAACTTCTCAGAGTTCTCGAATGTACTTCGCAATATTCAGTCGAACAATGGAACATTGGATTTGGCCAAGTGAGTTGAACTCAGTATGATAAAGGTTTAAGATGCTGTGGAGTAACAAGTAATACATTAACACAAATGCTGAATATCTTTTATTAGCTTAGTAAATATGAAAGGTTATTTTTCTGATCATTTTTAACATAACAGAAAAATGTATTTAAACACTTTCAAAATCAAATGTATTCACCACAAGCATTAATAAATTCTTTCCAACGTTTTCCAATCACGAATGCCGTCCTCGTAAAATTAAAGATTTTTAGAGGCAAAATAGCTGGCAACCCAATTTTCGATGTCCTGCTTTTGCTTGAAATGCTTCCCAGAAACTGCTTGTTTCATAGACCGAAAGAGGTGGTAATTCGATGGGGCTAGGTCAGGGCTGTATGGTGGGTGAGGAAGAGGTTTCTATCCCAACTTATCGATCTGTTCGTGAGCGACCTTTGAAATGTGCGGCCTAGCATTGTCGTGAAGAAATCTGACCTTTGATGGATCGATCAGCTTTTTCCTCAGTGCTCGATCGACTTGACCCAGTTGTTCTGCATAAAGTCTTCCATCGACAGTCTCGCTTTTCTCTAATACTTCAAAATAAACCATTCCCTTAGTATTCCACCACACACAGAGCATAACTTTCTTCCCGTGTATCGGAGGCTTCGGGATTGGATGAAGGGTCTGCTTCGAATTTAGCCAATGTCCATGGAGCTGAATGTTTTCATACGAAAGCCAAGTCTCATCAGATGTTAAAAAAAACTTCCAAAAGTCACGATGGTGAGCTTTGCGTAGAAGAAAAGAGCTCAGGGTGACTCGTATGGCTTTTTGGGCATCAGTGAGGTAGTGGGGGAGCTATTTCCCGCTTCGATATGATTTCCCAAGAACGTGTAAATGTTTTTCAATGGTAACATGAGTGCATCCAAACTTTTCTGCTAATTTTCTACACTTTTGCGATGGATCCAAGTCGACCTTGTTCAGTAACAGCTGATCGTCCAAAGTAATCGGTGGCTTTCCATGTGGTGCATCTTCCAATGACTCGTTTCCCGTTTGGATGCGATCGTACCAAACACAACATTGTTTGTAAGTGAGAGCAGCTTCTCCAAAAACAGTACAAATATTCTGATGGCATTCCGTAGCTTTCTTGTTTAACTTGAATTCAAAGAATATGGCAGCCCTGATTTTAAATTTTGTCTTTGTCATCCATCTTTGTCGAGCTGAAACAATACAAATATTATTCAAAACAAAAACGTTTTTGCAAAAAAAACATAAGCAGATTTTGACATATTATCGAGAAAAATCCTAGACAGCGAATGTTCTTGGTAACGACAGGGCAATATTTTTTGTAAAAAAATAACCTTTCATATTTACCAAGCCAATAAATAAATTGAAAATAGAAAGAATTCCTATTCAAAGTTATCGACAGCATTTCAGAGCTTTACAAATGATTGATGAGACTTTTAAACCGTATGCTGGTATGCCGCAAAACGTTGTGCTCTTCATGGGTGATGGTGTGAATGACACCATGGCCAAAGCAATTCCTTATGCCCAAAATCTGATGGCAAAAGGAACTGTTTTAGCGGTTTCGATAAGTCGGAATCGTACTAAACTTCAAAATCACATTCAAAATTTAGATGGAACTTTATACACGCAAGTCGCCTCCAACAACTCGGCAATCTCTTGCTTTGCCTACAGTTACATTCCCACAGCATATGGCTGCGCTATGGAAATTGATAGACTTTTGGGTATGGATTGGGAATACTCGTTGATTGGAAAATTTACTATAGGTGCTATTGTGCCGACTACAACAACAACGACAACAACGACAACAACCACACAATCAACAACGACTACAACTAAGATTCCTATGACCTCTGACTATGAACTTTCTACAGAACCTAATATGACAACTCCAAATGGAACACCCTCAAGTACTCCACAGATTTGTCGGGCATTTAAACCAAAGATAAAATCGGCAACCATGTTGCCAGACAAAACCGAGCAGCCTTTGAATTTCAATACTATTTCAAGTAGCACAAGCGACTATAAACTTCTAGTACTAGTAGGGGAGCAAAGAACTTTCCTTACAGGGTGAAGCATATATAGTGTTGCGCTCAACAAAAGTATGATTTTCTCAAAAACCAAGAGTTGACGGCCCGTTTTTGCTATCCAAGAATACCTTGCGTTTGGAATAATGGAGCTCAAAAAGCATTACTTTTATAGTAATTAACTCTAAAAATGTATTAATGCAGAAAAAGACGGAAAAAGACGATTTTTAGAGAAACCAAACCCGAATTTAACTGTTTTTCAGCATCGTTGTGCTTTGGTTTTTTTATTTAAGACTTAACAGCTTTAGTGCTTGCCAAGTAAAGGAAATAAGCTCGGCTATAGATAAAATCTAGAATTCTTGATTTTCGTTAGTTATCCAATACTTAGCCAAGTTAAACTTATCCCTGATTTCAGCTGTGACCCCGACTGGATCGACCACAAGGGGAGGAACTCCAACTGACACCACATTGAACACCACAACAACGACGACCACAACAACGACGAACACAACAACGACGACCACAACAACGACGAACACAACAACGACGAACACAACAACGATGAACACAACAACGACGAACACAACAACGACGACCACAATATCGACGACCACAACGGAAGCAACCCCGACTGACACCACATTGAACACCACAACAACGACTACCACAACGGGAGCAACTTCAACTGACACCACATTGAACACCACCACAACGGGAGCAACTTCAACTGACACCACATTGAACACCACCACAACGGGAGCAACTTCAACTGACACCACATTGAACACCACCACAACGGGAGCAACTTCAACTGACACCACATTGAACACCACCACAACGGGAGCAACTTCAACTGACACCACATTGAACACCACCACAACGGGAGCAACTTCAACTGACACCACATTGAACACCACCACAACGGGAGCAACTTCAACTGACACCACATTGAACACCGCAACAACGACGACCACAACTCCTAACACCGGACCGCCTATTGTACGTTGTTTTATGCACATTTGTTTATATATGTTACGTCCGATTTTGAAACCTTTTTAACAGAATAATGTTTTTGCATTAGAATCACTAAATTATTGAACAAATTTTAGTTTTTGCACAAGTTCCTTTAAAAATGAAAAAAAGATGCATTGCTTTTGTAATGTTTTTGATAAACTATTGTTTAAAATTTGATTAATAAATAATAAGGGCGTAATTTCGATAGTTTTAAGAAAAACCTTTCTTTGAAGATAAAAGTTTTCAGAATTGGACTTAAGATTTATATTTTTAGTCAACAACCACTGACATGAACACAACAACTTCGGACTCGTTGGCGGGAAGAAATGTGGGTTTGAAATCGAGTTGTGCTTCGGGGGTTGACTCAATAATTGAAAGTTCCAAACAAAAATTTTCTTGGGTAACTGAAAAATAGTAGCTAAGATCTCAGTTAACGGCCAAAAGTTTGATTGTTAAGGTTTAAAGTTCCATTCTCCAGGTGGACATCGTTCTCCTCCTTGACACCTCATCCACCGCTGAGCCGTACTTCGGTGACGTAAGTGTTTAGCTGATATATAAAAGAATTGATTCTAAAAATGTTCTAATATCAATTTTAGATTAATTTTGATATAAGGCGATACCGAATGCAAGGAAATTTTCAGTACATCACATTCGTGAAAACGTTCTTCACGGCGTTCACGGTGAGCCAAGCGAGAACGAGGATTGGAATTGTGGCCGTTCCCGGAGATGAGCTTGCAACGTTCCCCCTTGCTGTACTTGGACAAATTGGTAATACGGTGAGATTAGCTGAGCTAACTATGGTAAAAATTAATCCAGAATAAGATACTGAAAGTGGACTAAATTCAAAACAATCCATAGCTTTCAGACTCAACTCTTCGCAATTCTTGACAACATCAAGAACCACTTCACCGATTTCTCAGATCAAGGCCAATATGCTGGAAAGTGGGTTTCCAATTTTCAACTAAGAAATTCTTTGTTTAGAGCCCTTGATTTTGTCCGTCAATTCTATATGTCACCGGGGAATAGTTACCGACCAGAGATAAACAACCATTGGATCATCTATTTGACATCGGCGGTCAAGTAGAAGAAAAACAGTAATTATTTACATAAATTGTTTAGCATTACCGACTTGGATGATGCTATCACTAATGCGAACTTCTTAAAGTCTGGCAAGTACTACTCGATTGCTGGAATCGCTTATGGAACTGGAGTTATGGACAAACTGACGCTTGAGGTGAGCTGGACTAGTTGATCAATTTTTCGGATAGTAGTTGTCTAGTACTTTTAAATCAAAAGCGTAAACCCACCCTTTCTGGCGCACTCACTTTTCATCCCCAGGTTCAGGCTAGAAAAAATATACTAGAAAGAGTGTGTTTGGGTTTTGAGTACAGTCCGGTCTTCTTTTTTTTCGATCACTCCCTAGACCCCGTCTTTTATTCGAGGTCTTCTATTTTTTGCATTCAAGAAAATTCTCAGGAAAGTAACCAACATTTAGAAAAACAGCTTTCTTTATAAAAATTTATTGTAACATGTTAACGACAAAATTTATCAACAACAATCTGCAACAAAAATAATTCCGAAAAAGGAAACAAGAAAGGAATAAATCACGTGAATTTTAAGTTACATAATCATCCTTTATCACTACTTAATTCGTAGTCGTTCTCAAGCAAAGCTGAATCATCTAGAACACCTTCAAACGCCTCCAAGCTCTAGAAATCGAAACGTTTTCGCTCTCATAACCATTGTTTTTATCCACATCAGAGTCGACTTCATACCAGAGTTTTGCTAGTTTTTCCTCTAATCGCGCAATATCCAGCTTGCAATGACCATTTTCAACAGCTTCTCCTTTACGAAAACAAACAGTTTGATCAACTTTTATGCCATCCAATGCATTTGATATTCCGAATTTTTAAAACATTTGTCGATTAGCTTGTTTGGTAGGCTTTCCCAAGCGGTTATAATGCATTGAAGAAACTGATCTGTTTCTGTTGGTTGAGGGTTTTGCCTTTCGTAAAAGTCCTAGTTCCATTTGATAGCCAATCAGTGTAGAACTCGTCAAATTTCTTTTTGAACCGTTAACACATCAGAAAAAAACGCGAAATGGAATAAAACTACACTTTTGAGCTTACTTTCCTGATTTCGGATACGGTATTTTCAACGCAAAATAGAAAATAAGTGATACCTCGAATAAAAGACCGGTCTTAGATTTGAGGCAGTCTTAGATTTGAGGCGGTCTTAGATTTGAGGTGGTCTTCTATTTGAGGCGGACTTCTATTTGAGGCGGACTTCTATTTGAGGCGGACCTCTATTTGAGGCGGTCTTCTATTTGAGGCGGTCTTAGATTTGAGGCAGTCTTCTATTTTTTCGATCACTCCCTGAATCCCGTCTTCTATTCGAGTCGCTCTTTTACTCGAGACCGGTCTTCTATTCGTTTGTTTTGTTTTTAAAAAGTTTCTTTTAAATTTATCTCCATCACTTTCAGCAAATCACCGGCGGCACATCGTGCTCATTCTCCACCGATAACCAAAACAACTTGATGACCACAATCGCGCGAAATATTCAACAACAAATTTTCGACAATGATGGCACTTTTTGCATGGCATCGCCGTAAATCCTTTTCTTTTCAAATGCAATAAATTTTATTAAACTCTTATCAAAAAGTCTCCTCCACCTGATCTATAAATCCTTAGTATGGCAAGAAAATGTGGAAAAAAGTGAATTTCAGGGGAAAATCGATTAAAAAGAAATAGTAAAGTAAAAAAAACCCACTTTGGAGCTGTAACAATGAGAAGCATCACAAATGGAATTAAAATGAGAAAAGTCTCAGAAAAACAAGCATTGAGTGATTGGTTTGAGTTAAAGTAGTTAAATTAGTTAGTTAATTCCATAGACTTTTGCCAACTTAAAATAAAAAGTTTAACCTTCATGGTTTCTTGAACCTGAACCTTCATGGTTTCTTGAACCTGAACCTTCATGGTTTCTTGAACCTGGTAACCTGAACTCCAGCAGGGCCATCCAGCAGTTAACCTCCGGCGTTAGTCAATTAAGAAGGCAAATTTACTTTTTCTTACCCTAAAACAGATTCGAATCGTTTGAATGTATCGAAAAAGAGAGACAAAACAAAAACCAGCAAAAGTTTTGTGTGTATTCAAAAATCGAAATCGAAATCCATTTCTTCCACGTCTAAATTTTTCGAATTGCATTGCGAAACTTCAATTTTTTTCATAAATGATTCCAAATTTGGCTTTTTGTAATTTTTGATTACAGAAAACTTTCAGCTTGGAAAGAGTTCAATCAAAATGATGAAACTGTTGGTGATCGTCTTGCTTCAATTGATCAGCCCCTTGTCAAGTGTTATGCCACCCGTTGCACCCGTCCAGTCATCCATCACCAATCCGCAGAAAGTTTCACCCGTTCAATTGTCCAATGTCGATCTCCAATGGCCACAAGATCACCCGGAAGAGGTTTGAAATTTTAATAAAGCCTTTATCCTTCATTTCAAAGCATCAAGCAAAGTAAAACTCTAGATAATACGTAAATTATTTATTTTATTCACTCGCCACTTATCCAAGCGTATTGTAATCAATCATTGACATTCAAATTTCACATTTTCTTTAGAATTAGAGTGTTATGGTGACAGTTTTAAGCTTTTTTTCTTGTTAAATTCATTCAGTTTTAGACGTTTTCATTACTAAAACCTGTTCAGATTCTCCCCAGCGACGATCTAGTCAACTTCGGGTTTTTCTTCGTGCAGATCACTCAATATTTGCGCAAGTCCAACTGCTGGAGCTCGTGTCAAAACTTTCTCACGATGGGTAAGCAGTGGAGAGTTAAGTTTTCCAGATAAATCAATTGCAGATTCAACTCAAATCATCCGCAACAAGCCATGTCTCTGCAAGCGTGTCAACGACCAATCAGATGTCGATCTCTCCGCTTATTTCTATGCAATGGGAGGTGCCATGTTGCCCGGCCACCGAAATTGGACTCGTCAAGATCAGCAGTAAATAAATCTTGAACTCAAGACAAACAAGAAAATTTATATCAGATTTCATGATTTTATTCATCATAGCTAGGTTTGTGAAGAAATAGCTTTATTTTACATAAAGTTAAAGCTTTGGAAAGGTGGGAATTCCGCAGTTTTTGCGTGTTATTTAGTTGATTCGGGGAATGATCGAGACAGGAAATAGAAGAAAAGAATAACAATGGAATTTTAAGCCACAGTAAATGACCTTTTCTTTTGTCCACTTTAGATTCACATCCATTTCCTGACGCGGTCGTTCGCTGAATTGAAAAATTCCCAAGGAAAAGTCATGCTTAAATTTGATCTAATTTCTAGAAAACATAATGTTTTTGGGATAAAACTCTTTTAGAAAATTTTTATTAAAAAAACTGGACGAACTAAGAATTTGATTTCTAGACCTGAAAAACGGTAAGAGCTATCGATAAACGGCTTTCAAATTTACAATCAGCATCACTGAATTACTAAAAAAGTTTTTGAATGTGATATCAACTGTTTAAAAAGTTACTTTCTTACTTTTCCAAGGTTCAAAAACTATGTCCATTTGAAAAATGGGTTTTTGAGGGAAAGTTGGTTTTTTTCCCGGACTGCGCACCCAAATGTGCCGAATTCCTGGACTGCACACCCAAATGTGCCGAATTCCTGGACTGCGCACCCAAATGTGCCGAATTCCTGGACTGCACAACCAAATGTGCCGTATTCCTGGACTAGGCACCCAAATGTGCCGAATTCCTGGACTGCGCACCCAAATGTGCCGAATTCCTGGACTGCACAACCAAATGTGCCGAATTCCTGGACTGCACACCCAAATGTGCCGAATTCCTGGACTGCGCACCCAAATGTGCCGAATTCCTGGACTGCACAACCAAATGTGCCGTATTCCTGGACTAGGCACCCAAATGTGCCGAATTCCTGGACTGCGCACCAAAATGTTTCCGAATTCCCGAACTGCGCACCATGATGTGCCGAATTCCCGGACTGGGCATCAAAATGTGCAGAGAGGGTACCGATGGGGCAATGATTATTTAGATATTTATTCCGAATCTAGCACAATCGCGAGAAAAAACAATAAATAGAATCAATCGTTGGTTCAGTGTTTCAAAGCCAAACGAGAAAGAATACGAGAGGGCTCCGTTCCTTTTTATCATAGACGATCTTTAGAGGATCTTTAGAGGAAGGGCAAGAGAATCAGAGATACCGTATTTTCTCTAATAGTAGTGCATCCTGAGCGTCGCCTAAATTGCTCGAAATCCCGAGAACCGCTTATCAGAACCTATCGATGTGGGGTCGGAAAATGTAGCTGACGATGAGATCTTGTGGGGGATTGAGTATTGAGCTTCTGCAAAAGCTTGGAAACCGTAAAATCGTCACCAACTCGGCTCGCCGCGGTGCACTACTATTAAAGAAAATACGGTATTCAAAATCAAAGCATCAAATAAGATTTCACAGAAAAGAGCGACTTTTGTGCACAAATAAAATAAAAGTTTACCGTTTTTATTTGTTAAATATAAATATAAATTGTTTAAAAAAAGCGGTTTATACATTCATTTTTATCATTTATTTTTGAAAAGCTCCAAAAATTGATCTGTTTTTAAAATTATAAAGTGTAGAAGTTACGGCTAATTCTATTGGGTTGGGGAGAATGCCGAAAATCAAAAAAATGTCTAAAACTTCTATTCGACTTCGTCAAATAATATGCGTTTGATATGAGTAGAATGGTTAACTAATTCTCTACAAAATCACATTTAAAAGAAAATTCAAACAGCGCCTTCGCTCAAGAAAAAGCCATTTTTTCACAAAAACTACAAACTGTGATCTAGAAAAAACCATTGGTGGGATCTTCCTGCAAATTTGGCAACTTAAGTAATTCAATGTGCTCTATCTTTTTTATATAAACACCAAAGAAGGTTTATGTGAAAGAAACTGTTCAAATGATGAGTCGGACTCTTTGCCATTTTAACCAGCTGCGTTTGGAAGTTCATAAACTCCACGAAAGAAAAGCTTTGTGGAATCTCTCAAAAGTGATTTTGTAGAGAAATAGTGAATCCTTTTGATGAAACCAAACGTATGTTTAAAGAAGGCTTTATCTGTGCAAAAAGTCCCTTTAAAGTTTGGCGCCGACTCATTCTCCCCAACCCAATATCATTTATTTTTGAAAAACTCCAAAAATTGACCTGTTTTTAAAATATAAAGTGTAGAAGTTACGGCTAATTCTACAAAAATTCACCACTGATGTGCAGTTGATTTTGTCCTGAAACGATTTTGGGTTATGTAGCTACCGGACGATGATTGTCGTACCAGTCATCGTTATTGAATTGGCCTATATATTAAAGCTATTCTATTAAATAATTAAGCTAATTAAAGCTAAATAATTTAAAAACTCTATTAAGTTCGATTAAAGCTCTATTTTTATGAGAAAAGCTGAGATTGAACCTCAATAAAAGAAACTAATCCAATGAAAATGAGAAAAGTAAGCAATTTTGACACATACTGCTTTAATAACCTGTTTTCTGTTCTAGAATGAAACGTTTCTTGCTAAGCCAGCCGCTTTGTCAGTTTTTTTGTCAGTTTTTGTGTGTAAACTATAGCTTGTTTGTACTATTGTTTTAATGAAGAATAAATGAAGAATCTCCTTAAGAAATCGAAATACTCTGGTGAGCTTAGGCTCAGCTGTTCAAATGTTAAAGCCAGAAGCATTTATCTCTCAACATCATCATTGTATGGAATGACCATGAGGGTTCTTCGTCGTCGATTGCTTTGTTTCTTATAGAACAGAACTCCAGCAAGAACAGCGACAAGAATCAGGCAAACAATCAAAATCGGCAGCACATTAAATCGTTTTTGGTGAACTAAATACAAAAATTTAATGAGTGAAACTGACGAACTTGGCCAGAATTTGATTTTGTATCCTCGAAAAGTGTCCGTTCCGTCGGTGCGAAACATAATATGAAACGTTGAAGTACTTGTGTTCTTTTGTCCAGCATGGCGTATTCTATGAACAAAGTTTTGTGACCTAATCTCTTTTCTCTTACTCTTGAACATCTATATCCTCTTCTAAATTGCTAATAAACAGCAAATCGCTGTCTTCCATCTCGAATTCGATCACTTCGTACTGAATAGTCACATCTAGTGGCCCATCGACAAAATATTGGCAATTCATCTTGTTACAATATCTAGAAAACCTAGACAATCTCGTTTGCATGAGCCCAGTCTGAATTTTCAATATTAGTAATTGTATTCGATTACTCCTAGATGAATGGAGCACTTTTGGATAATCTAAGTCTACTCAAACTCACAGACACTTTATCACTTCGAGAAATATTGCGTAAGTTTTATTACATCTGTCAATCCATTGAGAAATTGTATAACCAAAAAGTTGCGATACTTAAGTGAAGAAACGTGGGTTGTCCAGAAATGAGTGAGTCTAGTTCGATCCAGAAATTGGAGTCCAACCTTCCATCACAAAGTGGGATCGACAGTGCTTTTCCTGGTTCCTGGGGGAGTCTCTTTGTGATAAATGTCACCAACTCAATGGAAAAGTATAGCCTAAATCCTAAACAAAGCTCGAACCACCGTAGACAAACTTTCAGTAAGCAAAAGTTATTCAGTTATAAAAACAGCGGCGTAAACTGTGAAGCAATTCATTTTCTCATTTGCTTACACTCTGTCGTCCCAATTGCTAGTCTGTAAAGTAATCTTAAATCATTGTACATTGTTTTCTGTTCGCTCCATTTCATTGTTTTCATCTATGGTTTAACTACCAAGGTTTGAGGTTCGATAAATGAGTGATTCAATTTGGGAGCTTTCAACTACACACCATATTTGATTCTAGCCAGCCATTGTCTTAAGCCAGACATTGCCTTAAACCAGACATTGCCTTAAGTCAGACATTGCCTCTAACGCACACAAGATTTTCTCGTCGCAACACTCTTCCACTACCAGGCTTATAACAAACGTGAGCTGCCGTTTGAATGTCCGGATAGAGTGAGGTGGAGAATTCGAAAACCGATTGGCGCCCTTGCGCCCGTTTGCCCATGCGCCCATTTGCCCATGCGCCCTTGCGCCCGTTTGCCAGACGATGATTTCATTTGACTGACTTGACTGATGCGGAAGGAAATCTAGTGTTCTGCAATCTTTTGCAAAATGAATGATTTTTCTAGCTACAAAACATTAGAAAATTTACTCAAGCACAGTTTTTATTTGCCTTGACCATATCCTAACATAACAGGGAAAAGGCGGATCGCAGTTTTATAAAAAAAAACACTAAAGGATTGAGGGCCAAATTCTTTCCCAAAAATTTTGCATAATGACGATATTAATTTACAAAAAGAAGCTATTAAGGCTGTGAATTTGTACCTGAAGGTTTTTGGGGAATCAATTGGAGATTTTTATTTTATTAAGTCTAACAATTGGACTCACAGAACTCACATTTTGTCCTACTTGCCTTTGAGGGAAATTTGGTGAGACGAGAAAGATCGGTTCATCTTCAATTGTATGATCTCTTTGACCACATTCACAATCTAAAGCGTTTGGAGACTGATAATAATTAGTTTCTTTTCACTTTTTTTCTCTGCCCAATCGATGGTGAGATTCATCTCGATATTCAAATTCTTAAATGGCACGGGTTTAGTAGTGAATAGCACATAAATGTACTGTGTTTGACTGAAAAGAAATTCTTTTACGAACCAAAATTCTCTTTACTTTACATATTCCAGGAAATCATCAGAGCTGAACTCATAACGAGACTCAAACTGATCATCTAGAGATCTAAAATTGAAATTTTAATGAAAGAATAAAACTCCAAACATTTCCACATGGTCATCGAGCAATATAGCAAGTGTCCAATGTCCTTGTAAATGATGTGGTTCTTTCAATATAGTGAGTGATTTTTGAGGATCATTCTTAATCTTTATCCAACAATTCAACAGCTCGCAACTCTCAGAGATGTTGAATTGAATGCGCTGTGATGTATTGAGTGGCTGATTAAAGATGAGAAATTGCTCGGATTCGGGAAAACATTTGCATTCTAAAGCCAAAGAATTAGATAGAATCGATGCTTCAAAATGTGTACCTTTTGGATAAGACATGAGACGAAACTCAAAAACCTCCATCGCTTTATAGTGTACACTGAAAACGGGTGGTAAAACGCGCGGCGTCTCATCTGCTTGTCTGGTGCTAAAGGAAAAGATCACTCTTTTTCTAAAGACAATTTTTCCAGGAATCAGATTAGAAGCCAAACCTTGCCTTGGCCGGGCTTTAGTGTTCTTTAGTGATCCAATTAGACATCGGCGCTACAAACTACAAGCTCCGACTACAAACCTTTGTAGAAACGGGTAGAATAGAGATTTTTCAAACTTTTTTTTACCAAAAAATTGAGCGGATATTAGGCTTTTGAATGACACCAAAAGCACGAAAATCCATCATCTCTGCTCCGAGAACGAGCTATTTATAGCCATTTGTAGTCTCGTACGATGGGACGAGACTACAAACCTGGAAAAAAACGTTAAATCTCAGCACAGAGACCAGCACAGAGATCTCAGCACAGAGATCAGCACAGAAATCAGCACAGAGGTCTCAACACAGAGATTTGGCTTGATTTTCGTGTCATTCGAAAGTCGAAAGTTGGCTTGTTGTTTTGATGAAAAAGTTTTGAAAAATCTCTATTCTACGTGTCTACAAGGATTTGTCTGATCTTGTAGTTTGTAGCGCCAATGTCTAGTTCCAACCCGAATACCTAATGTCCTGAGTTTGTATCACGATTGAAAAAGTTGTGAGATTGATGTGAACCACCGGCAGAGACACTGGTAAAGGCTAGAATGTAAAGATGTTTAACGGTAATTTAAAAAAATGCGACTTATCATTGAGAATTTCTGTTAAAATTTCCACCTGAAGATTTCCTTAACCAAAAACTTCTTTTTAGTAGACAAATGTTTAAATTTTTTGCTGAAGCTTAAAGTTTGTCAAAATCTTTAGTGAGAGAAGAGATAAGTGTGGTTAAAGAAGATTTATCGTTAGGCTTAACGGTAATTGTCGAGAGGTCACCTTTGCCTGCATTCAGTTTTTGGTTAAGGAAATCTTAAGGGTTGGTGAATTGCTACCTGAAGCTACCCTAGGCTACCGTATTTTGATCAAATTATTGGGTTGGTGAATTGAAAACTGCGGGTTATTGTCATATGTGACAGTTTGAGCACTTTCTTCAAAAGAAACCCATTTTGGTGTCAATGGAAAAGTTGTAGAGAATCAAAAATCAAGCTTATATCCAAATTTTCAGAACGATTCAAAAACTGGTTTTCAAGAAATGAGAAATTTACGAATTTTCACAAAACTTGCATTTTAAGCGAAACTACTAAGTGTATCTTTTTGGAAATTTGGCTATAAGCCTAATTTTTGATTCTCTACAACTTTTCTATTGACACCAAAATGGGTTTCTTTTGAAGAAAGTGCTCAAACTAGGACATCACCAGTCCTTCATTTTTGAGTCTCACACTTGTCTCACACACAAACCAAAATCCTACTACGAAAGAGGAATCCGCAAATTGCCTATAAAATGGGCAGAAGTCGTGAATAATAATGGAAATTATTTCGAATGAATTGATGGTTTTATGTTGAATAAATTTTAGTTCAAAGTCCGGCAGCTTTCAATTCACCAACCCAATATGATAGTTTTATAAGCTGACCTTTAACCGAGCGATAACCCGTGGATAATGAGTGGAATTGACAGAAACATTGGTGGAAAGGGACAAGTAGCAGAAAAGGTCTTGGCAAGTCCCACTTGGAAATATCGTGGGTAGGAAGCTAATTGGCTGATTTGAGGTAAGCTGTAGTTGGTGTTCTTCACAAGTACAGCCTGAAACGTTTCAAGTTTTAATCATCCAATCAAACGCACGATCGTTGACTGCGGTGACTGTAAAGTTGTAGGCCATTGAGTCTTCATTGTGATTAAGACAAATTTGGAGTAAAGCTTGATTGGAATAGGTTTGAAAAGAAGTCAACAATGACGATCTAAAACTCAATTTTGATTTATGGAACAATTACTAACTCATTGCTTTCACTACATGAAGAAATTTTCTTAATGCGGTCAAGATGGGCAATATCGTTGAACAAATACTTCCAAGAGCCTAAAGTTACACAAAAATGTTTGACTAAGAAGTAGGGCTTTGCTTAAAGGGCTTTGCTCTTTAAGGAATGCATTTTCTAAAAGGCGTTTATCATAAGAAACTACTGTACTTAAAGCTAAAGCTACTTACAATCGTTTTCTAAAAATAGATCCTTTTTAGAAACAAATTACAGAGCACCTGTTGTGTTTAATTCAATCGATTTCCCATTTGGTGCCACCAACAAGAGTTGACACTCTGAAACGAAGATAACAAGACTATTTTCAATAGACTAAACCTTCAATACTTGAACTATATTTGAGTTCCGTGGAGATCATCTTTGACTCATCACTGGCGAAGATGACTACGTCTTTTGGGCAACTGTCCATTAGGTGATTTTCTTCTAAAGATTGGATTAGAAAGATTAGCCAAAAACACCATTTGGCTTTGGCTTTTTTTGGTAATATTCTTGGTAAACCGCTTCCATTTCATAATTTCAAAGCTTTACCTTGTTGCCGGATCATGAAATGAAATCTCAGAAACCCTTCCAAATGTGACAATTTGATTCGTAGAGCTCGTGCATACAGAAAGATCAACTCACTTGTTCCATCGTTGTCTTCCACAGATTGTTTGTTTATACTAAACATTTATAGCTTTGGTCTTGTTTGCTTTGAGCAAACGTGACTCACAAATATCCCCGAGCCAGCCAGCCAGCCAAAAGCCAGCCAAAAGCCAGGCTCTAGCCTGGATTTAGCTTGGCTTGAACCTAGTGATCTAGCTTGTCCTGAACCTAGTGATCTAGCTTGGCTTGAACCTAGTGATCTAGCTTGGCCTGAACCTAGGGATCTAGCTTGGCTTGACCCTAATGATCTAGCTATTAGATTTGAGATAATCTATTAATCTATTAGATTTGACATAATCTATTAGATAATCTATTAATCTATTAGATTTAAGATAATCAAAGCTTTACTAAGCCATTGGAATCTGATATTCTGTCTCATTGATCGAGACAAGTTCCTCAATTTTTATGTAATCGTGCTTAGAGCTCAGATCGACATCACGGACGTTGATTGTAAGGATGTGATTCGCTTTTGGATAGATCTAAATCATTTTTTGACATGGTAGGAAATCGGAAAACTGACCACCCAAGTACAATTGGCCTCAAGATCTTGATAACGTGGATGTTCAGGATTTTTCAAGATCAAAGAATCATGTTTGAGTGTCAGAAAGCTTTCATTGGTTTCATTGAAACAAGTGGCACCTTAGATTTTACTCAAGTTAAAAGTACGGTTTACTTACTGTAAATTGAATTAATATAAAAGAAGATTAATATAAAATACATCGATAAAAATCGATGAAATGATTTGTTTTGCTTTTCATTAAAGTATAAACAATCGTGATCACAACCAAAAAACTCTTTGGGAAGAGCGACAAAAAAGAACAGTGTTTTGAACAGTGTTGACTGTTGAAATAGTATAGATTTTGAGATTTTTGGTTAATCTGTCAGCTAATTTGATTGTTGTGAAGGCAGTTTTATTTAACCATACTCCAGAGTTTTTTTGCTGCCCCTGTTATAAACAGTTATAAACATATCGGTTATAAACAGGACATACTTTTAAGGCAAGCAAGCCTTACAAAGAGATAGCTAAAAGCTTGAAGCCTAATTCCTTGCGTTTGCAAGCTATTTTGGAAAAACAAGGGGAAACAATGCAAAAGCCGGGCTTTTTCAAAATAAAATTGGTCGGAGTCGAGAGTCGAGAACAATTGAGCTTATGCTCTCTCACCTCATGAGTTTTTGCTGCACCTGCGGACCGAAATCCTTGGGATGAATCCAAAAATTCACAGCGGCTCCCTACAGCACCCTTTTACAGGCACTTGGGATCCCATTTCGACCGGCGGAGAACCCACCATTTTGGCCAAAATGAGCCGGAACTGGGTTAGCCAATTCTACAGCCGAAGTTAGTTTGGGAAGCGGTGACCATATGGGGCAGACAACGGATTGGTTACCGGATGACCCAAAATGGACGCTTCCGATTGGACAGATGAAAAAAAAACGATATCTGCTGATGTAATATGCCAGATCGAGTGCGATTGTGCACGCGCACAGGAAACACACCGGGATCCTCTTTTTTGCATTTTAAACTTCAAAAGCTTCGAATTTTTGAATAAAGAAATTGCTTTTCGAAGGGAAAAAGAAAACAAAGGGTTTTCGGAGTTGGGGAATCGATTGTGTTATAAGAGAAACATTATAACTAAATGTGTTATAAGAGAAACATTATAACTAAATTTCAAAAATTTGATGGAATCGGGATTACGATGATTTAAGGAAGAAATGATTTCATTCTTGTTGGAGGAAAGCATGATCCATTCTCACCTCGTTATGAAGCAACGATCAAAGATGAGAATGATCTTGAGCACAAATCATGCTTTCCAATTTGATAGAAACAAAACACTTGCTAATTTTCTATCTACTCTGGAGTATGGTTAAATTTTCGCCCTCGAAATTTCTTCAATGTTTCGATCAATTGAAACACGTTTTAGCCTATTTTGTAGAGGAGATTTACAACTTTCGTTTACAACTTTCAAATAGTTTATAACATTCATCGATTCTAGTTTATAACATCAGGTTTCTATCGTTGGAAATTTATGAAAATGTTGAAATCCGCATTTCTTATGCATGTACCTAATACTATATATAAAATAGAAGAGATATCTGCCTGTCTGTGCGCCACGACGTTCCGTAATTACGTTTGCTCTATCGGTTAAAAGGCAAAGTGTTCATCTTTTGCGCTTAATATTTTGCTCTCAGGGGTTTTCGGCTATGGGGAATCTGACTTTTAGACCTATTTTTAAAAAGGGAACCGAGCTTAACGTGGGTTACGGCAGTTTTAGTCATTTGAAAGAAAGTTTTGTATTAAAAGGTCTAAAAGTTTGTGCGCTTGTGCCGTTTTGTGCGCTCGACAAAAACAATTCTGTTCCCTGTTTCTTTTTGCGTTTCTTTGTAATGATACTGTTGTACACTTTGTAATGATACTGTTGTACTATTCCGTTATGCTACGGTTTGACAATTAATCATTGCTTTGAGCATTATAGATTTGAGTCCTTGAAGAAGTTTTTCTTCCTTTTTTTAGTCTTTTCACTTTCAGCAACACCAGAAACTTTTTTGTTTTGACTTTTCCTCATTTTTATGTCTTTTTTGGTCTCTGTCTCTGTCTTTCTCTGTCTTTTATTGAAAATGGCGACTTTCTTGAGTCTATTTCTTGTTATTTCAATCTCAATCTTACATGTTCAAGGGTAAACAGTTCTTACAAACAAAAATTTTTAATCTTATTTTAGAGAACAAACAGTAGCCATTAGGGGAGTTTTTCTTTGTGATGGGAATCCATTGGAAGGTGTTCGAGTCTCTATTTATCATGGTGGATGTAAGAAAACAAAAAAACTGCCAGCTTTATATTAAATAAACATTCCACCTGAAGATTTTCTTAACCAAAAACTTCTTTTTAGTAGATAAATGTTTAAATTTTTTTGCCGAAGCTTAAAGTTTCTCAAAATCTTTAATGAGAGAAGAGATAAGTGCGGTTAAAGAAGATTTATCGTTAAGCTTAAGCGTTAGGCTTAACGGTAATTGTCGAGAGGTCATACCTTTGCCTGAAACTTTAAACTTCAGCACAAACAGTAGCCGTTAGGGGAGTTTTCCTTTGTGATGGGAATCCATTGGAAGGTGTTCGAGTCTCTATTTATCATGGTGGATGTAAGAAAACAAAAAAAACTGCCAGCTTTATATTAAATAAACATTTTTAGATCTTGAATCTCGACCTGTACCAGGAAGTAAAGCCATTGCGTTTACAGATTCAAATGGGAGAGTTTCCGTTACAAGGTGAGATCATTGGTGATCAAGGTGAGAAAATTTGAGTATATTTTCTCTAAAAGATGTTTTTTAGTATGCTTTGATCCGTCGATAAAGTCCATTTTCTACTTTTAGAACCTATTCGCCGCCGAATATTCCATTTTTTGATGATTTCCAACCAGTTGTGGCCATCGATCACAAATGTAATGTGCAGGTATGATGAAATAAGTGCAAACAGTATCTTTTTTCTGTCTATGATCGTTTCTGCTACTTAAACAAGTACTAATAACAATGTTATAGTTCTGTCGACTCCGTTTGAAAGTCCACGTTGGTAAAGAATGGGTCTCGGATGGGCCAACTACAGACAAGGTTTGTCTCGGGCACTGCAATAGCATTGAAGACTTAAAACTCTTATCTTGAAGACTCAAATTAACATACAATTTGCTTTAATCCCACAAATTCATCAAGTATTCACCTACCGTAAAAACTCTAACAGAAGCCTCGGGGCTTCTATTTTTTAATCCTCTTCCAAGGGGAGCCTCTATTTTTCAATGTAAGAAATCGGACAAATTAGATTTCGAAGTGATAGATTGTGATAGATTTCTCGTAACAACCCTGTTCTCCAGCTCAATCGACGTCAAGTGTCCACCTCCTTTCAAACGTTTTGCTTGGCTTTCTTGCTGCACAAGTTTCCTTCTTGTCCGATCCATTGTCGAAGCATTGCACGATCAAACATTGGATAATCAATTTGGTACTTCTTTGCAGCCACATGCACAGAAAATTCTTGACTTATTTGACAGCTTTCAATTTAAGCTCCTTTGAATAGGCCTTGTGCTTTCGAGAAGGTGATTCTTCGTTGTTTTCTTCACTTGAACAATCGTTCTCCGAACATTGAGCGGTCGTTTCCCTCATCCACCTCGCTTTCTGGCCAGACCTGGTTGTAAAGGCCTCACATGGGCTCACGTTCCTCCTCGAAAAATCCTTGCATCTCGTTCTTGCGGCGATCTCGAAACTCTTCAAGTTCATTCAGCTCTTCTAATCCAACTCTTCCAATCCAACTCTTCCAATCCAACTCTTCCAATACAACTCTTCCAATCCAACTCTTCCAATCCAACTCTTCTAATCCAACTCTTCCAATCCAACTCTTCCAATACAACTCTTCCAATCCAATTCTTCCAATCCAACTCTTCTAATACAACTCTTCTAATCCAACTCTTCTAATCCAACTTCAAATCTCCCTAAAAATAAAAATTAAACCTTGAATAGAGAAAAACAAGCAAGAAAAAGTGCATTAGAGAAAAGAAAATGTTAAAATTAATAAGTCTAAATACCTACCGTAAATACTGTAATAGTAGCCCACCCCCCTCGTACAGTCGCGTAGTCACAAAGGTTTTTTAGTATTTCATTTTTTCAAAGCGCCCGTACTTTTAAAAAATGTGTCTTTGGTATCAAAAAATATCCCTGAATTTCAGCTATTTTTTGATACCTAAGCGCGCATTTTAGCATAAACCAGTGTCGAGAAAAACTCGTTCAAAGCTAGACTACGCAACACTCCGCACCGTCATTATGGGGGTGGGGTACTATTACAGTATTTACGGTAATTTTGGTTAAGGTAATTTTTGGGTTACGGTATAAAAAGCTCAAAAGAAAAAAGAAAAAAGATCCGAGAATCTATTTGCGATCTATTGGGTTGGTGGAAAAGTCCTTTCCGATTTTTTGGGAGAGTACCTTAAATTTGTCCAATTTTGACGTTTTGTAGCTCATCCTAAAGCTGAATTCAAGACGGATCGATTGGTAAAAACCGTTTTGAGATATCTCTTTTTTAAAAGTTTTTACAGCTATTTTAGTAAAGGGAGGCAAATTTAAGGTACTCTCCCAAAAAATCCGAAAGGACTTTTCCACCAACCCAATATTTGAGCCATCAAATTAAAATAAAAGATCTATTTGAGTTTTTACAGTATTTTAGGTGTTTGTCATTGAGCCAATGGAACTTTACGTTCGTCGTAGGAATGAAGAACGCATTTGCACTCGGCGACTCTTCAATGAAAATGCTGAGAACTCAATGATTTTCCCATTTAATGCATCACAATTATCCAACTTTTCCATGAAAAGCAAATAAACTATCGTTTTGCAGAATAACTTCAAGCTGGCTTTAATTTAAACTACCATAGTTTAACTAGTATTGTTGGATGAACGCTGACAAACTTTAGAACCTAAAAAAAATCAATCAGTGAACTGTTTTCCCGAGAAAAGAGCGATTTCTCTGATTTTTGAGGTGGTCTTATTGAGTTTTTGCCTTATCATTTTCAGACTTTCTTCTCCATTTTTCTTTAGAGAATCACTTATCAGTATTGCTCTCGAGATGCTTCTGATGAACGATCCCCTCAATCTAGAAAGGGTTTCAGACCAAAAAAACTTCCCAAACTTTGTTCGTTGTCTTAATTTTTAACTTTTAAGGACCATCTAGAGATATCTTTTCTTCTATACAGCTTGCTTATACTTGGAAATGTACTGCTTACACTTCTTTACTGGAAATGTACTGCTTACACTTCTATACTAGGAAATGTACTGCTTGCACTTCTATCCTAGGAAATGTACTACTTACACTTCTATACGAAATGTCCTGCTTACACTTGTATCCTAGGAAATGTACTACTTACACTTCTATACTAGGAAATGTACTACTTACACTTCTATACTAGGAAATGTACTGCTTACACTTTATACTAGGAAATGTACTGCTTACACTTCTATCCTAGGAAATGTACTGCTTACACTTCTATCCTAGGAAATGTACTGCTTACACTTCTTTCCTAGGAAATGTACTGCTTACTTTTCTATACTTGGAAATGTACTGCTTACACTTCTATACGAAATGTACTGCTTACACTTCTATACTAGGAAATGTACTTCGTACACTTCTTTCCTAGGAAATGTACTTTTAATCCTCTTAACATCCAAAGCAATTGGAGCTTGGCTCTAATTTTTCATTTTATGAAACTTTCAAGACTAAACAATGCTTTAAAGTGCTCTAAAGTAATCGTTTGCAAATTTTAAAGGTTATTAGATCTTACAGCTTTCTTGTGCTGGCTTGTTTAGCAATTTGATTAATAAAAATAGCTTTCCAATGGTCAAATTGAAATTTTACTTTAACCCTAAACCTTAAAACAGTTCAACAAAACATCAGCAACACTTTTTTGATCAAATATTTACTCTCTCTTTGCCAGGAATCAAATAGAGTTCACTTTTATCAATAGATATTGTCTAGAAAATCGATTTCCTGCAAACTCTTGCAGTAATTTTTAAAATTGTCCATCCCATTTTTCATTTGGAATTTTGTTTTTCTGTTATTCTCTTCAAATAGCCAAATAGCTATTTGTTTTTTTTGAAATGATTCACAGAAAACGACATTCTTTCGCTATTTTTGTCACCAATTTGTATAAATTTCTTGTTTATTCGATTTTGAATGATTTTACTTTCTATTTTATTCAAGTTATTCAAGTTATTCTATTAATTTGCTTTACTGCTTTGTTGACTCTTCACCCCGAACACTCCACTACAAAAAACAATTCTTGCGTGACCCCTTTTGACCATCGCTTTTAGCTATTCTCGTACATAAACAACTACTTAGTCAATCTTTAGTCATATTTCTGTTTTTATTTCCTTTCCTTGTCTAATTTGATATTGATTTGATTTGATTTTGACTTTTACAGAACAAAAAAACAACTTGAAAGGATGAGACACTTGCTGTGCTTGTTAGGTTTGTTAGCAAATTAGCAAATTAGCAAATTAGCAAATCTTCAAGTAAATTGGAATTTAGACATCCACAATTTATTAGATTATGAACAGAATTTTATATTCTAGGCTTACTTGCCGTTACGTTTGCTCTTCAACAGTTTTCCGTGAAAGACGGCGGAAAAGCGTGTTTTTTGTTGGAGGCCGATGTTGAAGGAGAGGTTGGGCATTCAGAAAATATACAATATGTACCAAATGTAATTAATAGCGTGAGTAGTGAAAAAACCTAGCAAGCCTTTTGATCTAAAGAATCGGCATACAAACTAGATACGTCTTGGAACCGTATTGGATCAGAATAGGACCGTATTGGAACCGTATTGGAATCGTATTGGAACCGTATGGGAACCGTATTGGAACCGTATTAGATCAAAATAGTAACCGCATTGGAACCGTATTGGAACTGTATTGAATCAGAATAGGAACCGTATTGGAACCGTATTGAATCAGAATAGGAACCATATTGGAGTTTATAGAGCTTTACACTAGGTACATCAAAGTTTTTAAATGCATTTTATAAGTAAACTTACTTAAAACTTGAGCTAGTTTAAGCTAAAGTTAAAGCTAACGTAAAACTTGAGCTAATTTAAGTGAAAGTCAATATGAACATCAAGATCTCAGATTAAATGGAAAGATGGAAACGAAACAAAGTCATTCTCGTGGAAGCTCGACAAAGTGACACAGCAAAGCGGAGAGTGTAACGGGAAACGTGAGGGGCTCAAATCGAACCGTTTGGAGGTAAATTTTAAGAGTAAAACAAAGCCAACAAAGCTCAATAACTTACATTGATCATTATCCACTTCGTATTTTCCGTTCAGGCTCAATTCTTGCCTAAGGACACCTCATCGGGACAATACGGACAACTCTGGATCTTCACTTTGGAGCTAGTGTGAGTCGATTCACAAGAATATAATCAATATTGAGTTAATTGCATAGTAATTTTGAAATATTATAAAATTTCCTCTTTTTAGTCAACAAACCGGTGATAACAAAACCTACGAGTTGGTCGATTGGAGTTTGTCCTTTACGCCACGAGTCGGGATCAATATTACTGGTGGGAGCTAAGAAAAGCTTATAAAAATAGATGTAAATTGATCTAGAAATGAAATTTTAGATAATAATCCAGATAAGTAAATCTAGTTAAGATTAAATCGGTTTAGACACCTACCGAAAGACCAAAGATGCCGTCACGGACCTTTCCGCTTTTGGATCCAACGCTTACAAGGTTTAATTTTGATCAATAATTCTAGATATTTTAACAATTCCAATGTAACTCTTTAAATCATTGCAATTCAGTGCTCAAATGTTGGCCTGGCTTTGGATGCGGCTGATGGATCGGGTGTGGGATCGGTGTTGACACTGAAGTCTGTTCGAGCTGTCGCTTTTGCCAGCATCGATGGAGACAAGTTCCCAGAGAAACAAGGTAAGGATTTCATAATGACTTTAGCTTTTTCTAAATAAAATATTAATCTACAGTAATCTACAGTAATCTGATCACCTTTTAGTCTACGAAGTGTGCAGTCTTGACTCCAAGACTTCGGACATTGTCCCAATCATCGTTGGAGCTTGTTTGGCTGGATTGGTGGTTGTTGTGCTTGTTGCTTATTTGGTGGGACGTGCTCGTGCAAAGAGACAAGGATATGCTTCCGTTTAAGTTGAAAAGGTTAGTGATTAGCTTTACAAGCAGCTAGACTTAACTAGACTTCTGCCTTGGCTTCGCGAAAGTAGCTCAGGTTCAATAACTCTGCTACTGTAGACCACAGTAAATTTGGACTACAGTAACCCTTGGCTATTATAGACTACAGCAACCCTTAACTACTGTAGAATACAGTAAACTCAGACTACAGTAACCCTTGGCTATTATGGACTACAGTGATCCTTGGCTATTGTAGATTACAGTAAACTTGGACTACAGTAACCCTTGACTATTATAGACTACAACAACCCTTAGCTATTGTAGATTACAGTAAACTTGGACCACAGTAACCCTTGGCTAGACTACAGTAAACCTGGCCCACTGTGATTACAGTAACCTTGGGCTACTGTAGACTACAGTAACTCAAACCACTGTGGCTGTATCATACAAATGAACTGAGATTATTGTATTGATTACTAATGCAAGTGCTAATGAGCCTAAAGCAATATGGAATAAAATAAATCGTAAGCTTTTCATTTAGGATCAATGATCAAAAACAAATGATTACAATCTCTCAACTCAATCGATCAACTCTCGGGACCGAACGAATTTCCTCTTTTTCTCTTTATTCTATTTCGGATTATCTTCACAAATATATATTTTTCTTAAAATTTCAATCTAACTGATATCTCTGAAATTCAATCTTTAGCTCAATGTGATTGTGAAACGTGTATTGTTTGTGTTTAGTGCCCAAAAACTCAGTTTTCAAAATGATTTTGTGATTCTCAGTTTGTCATCAATGTCATTTTGATTCACAATAAATTTATTGAGAAAATTGTTCCTGAAAAACAAATCTGCAAAGCAAAAGATTTCAAGATATCGTTTTACGGGATCAAAATAAGATTGAAGCAAAAAAATGTTGTTTATACGGTTTATTTATGTTTATAATGATGAGTTTCCTAAAAAGTAGGTAATTTGGAAAGTTACCATAATCTTTTAGTTAGATTTTGTTCGTTCTACTCCATTTTGATCTCATTCGATGAGAAATCAATTTGTGAATAGAATGACATCTAATTAAGTGAACGGGCAAGATCAGAAGGAAAGCTTATGGCAGCTTGCACTAAATTATCCACCGTATTAGTCAAATTGTACAGTAATTTGATTACAAATGAAAAGAAAAAGCCTTCTATTTCTAAAGCTTAGCGCTTATACGATCCAACAGGGTGATTGCAATGCGGACAATAGTGATTCACGTCTTGCCATTGTACAATACAAAAAGCACACGGCGAGCAGAGAGTCAAACTAAATTCTAGGTTTAAATTCTAGGTTTAAAAGTGTAAATCCAAAGCTCTAACACTTTGTCTTTTTGGTTTTAGTGATTTTCTAGAGATCTAGAGATCTAGAGATTGATTAACAGCTCAAAGGAACTCACGCGGCCGTCCAGAAACAAAGACAAAACGCAATCCAAGTGCAGTTGCCAATCTCATGCGAGATTTTCGTTTCTCCAGTCTAAAGCCGATTGTTCAAGCTAAATTTGAAACTTTATATCTTTTTGCATTTCGGACAGCGAATCATTTGTGGTTTTTCACCGAATATCGCTGGGAGAGATGGTTCTGGTTGGGTGCGGATCACGGGCTGAATTGATAGAATTGGCTTAATGAAGGTTTAATACAGGGTTAAGCAAGATTACCCGAACGAGAGTTCTTCGCTGTAACTTTGCCAGCCAACTTAAAGGTATAGTTTTCTCCATAGTATAAATTTCATTCCCTTTGGGACATTACTGATCCGTTGACCGGTTCTTCTTTCGAACCACAAAGCATCGGTAAAATTGATCCTGGTGCAGAACTTCATTTTCCTCTTTTCAGCGCTTTTTTGGTTTCTAAAGAACTCGAAAAAAACAAAATTAAGACTAGAAAAGTGTGAATACTTTTTTCGACGATAATTTCTATAAAAAGAATTATAGGAGTTTATATGGAACGGCTGACAAATCACATTCAAACTCTTTTCTTGTGCAGATGATTTTGCCCAATCCTATAGAGTACAGAATTTAATTGAAAGTTAAGAAATCATAAGTCAAGCGTCAGAAAATATCTCCTACTCCTTTTGGCACTGGACGAAGTTGAGGCTGGGAGTTTGGTGGAAAAGAGCCAGTGTTCATCGGATGAGTCTAGATATGAAAAGTTAGCTGTTGATCTAGGATAAATACCTCAAAGAGCGTACGGTTCTAGTACAGGTTATAGATCTATTAAGTTCTGGGACTTTGTAAAACTCACTTGTTGAGCCATTGCCGGATAGTGATGGCCGGCTGGTAGTGAATGTACCGGCTGTGATGCTGAGATCTGGTAACCGCCGTGCATTGATTGCATTGATTGCATTGGTTGCATAGGTGCTGGATAAGTGACCGAGACTTGACAACAGGGCATCGGCATCTGTTGTTGCACTGAGGCCATCTGTTGCATTGGTTGAGCCATTCGATAACTGACTAGCTGTTGTACTGGGTGAGCTGGTGGTGGATGTGTTTGAGCCATGTATTGAACGGGCTGTTGCATTGGTTGAACTGATGGTGGAGATTGGATGGGTGCCACGTACTGAACACTTTGTGGAACTGATTGTGATGGTGCGTAAGATACAGGAGGTGCAGATGGAGCTTCAGGATGTTGTTCCTGAAAATTCTTCAGTACAAAGCGACTCACTAGAACCCGCTACATGAAAAGAACTATATTCGAATCAATCAAAATTATCGGTTTAGAATCTCCAGATCAAAGGCTGACCGCTTGTCCTTGTGGCTTGGATTGAATCGGTTGAACTGGTTGTTGGGGAACAGTTGGTGGAGCCGTTGGAACCGGTTGTGGTGGTAAATAAGAATTTGAAGCAGCAATTGTGGCTACTGGAGCTACAGGAGGCTGTTTCTAAAAGTCAACAATTGCAGAAAATCTTCGATGCTAACATAGATCTTTTCTGGATAGATACAGACTAACCAATTCAGGAGAAGCAGAATGAGTGGGAGTTGCAGCTTGAGTGTTATCCTAAGGATATTGTTATAAATGAATCTTTGTGAAGGTTGTTACAGCCAGTCTAGGCTGTAACAGCTGTAACAGCTAGGGCAATTCAGGTCAGGTTAGGTCCAGAGTCAGGACTGAATCGGAACCAGTGTTCTGTAGTACCTGACACCAAGGTCAGGTACTACACCAAGCCAAGCCAGAAGCAGGTCCAGGTCCAGAAGCTTGCAACAAAGCCAGTCCAAACAAGATAAAGGCTTGGTCTAGCCTGTTCTGGCCTTTAGAATCCTGATCTTTATCTAAAATCAACCAACCTGTCCGTCCATAATCGTCCAACTCGACGATGAAAAGAAAAATGAAACGAAGATGAAATTAGAAGAAAATTTGATGGAGACATTTCCCTAAATAGTCTAAACAATGCTGATTCAAGTCACTTTTCAGTCATCACTCGGAATTTTTTCTTTCTTAGCGTTTTGTGATTTTGAAAAACATTGTTTATGTGCAATTTTTAAATGTATGAAGTAAATTCCGAGATCAGAATCAAAGTGTAATTTAAACCGCAAAGGGGAAGCAACCTATACCGGGGCTGTCAGAACAGAGCCAAGTCAGGACCTGGATTCTGGACTGGGCTAGCCCATAAAGGCTTTTGGATCTCAGAAGTTAGACCTGGACCTGGCCTGGCTTGGCTTACAAGCTAGAACCCTAGAACCAACCCAGCCAAGTTCTCTTGCTATTAAAGCTCTAACTGAGAAAACAATTCATCAACTACGCTTTTAGTGTTCTATAAAGTTTCTTTCGACTTTTCTTTACAATCACCTAAATAATATTTTTTCAGAGATAGATCTCGACGGAAAATTTTTAGACGAGTTTGAAGAATTTCGAGTTCGAGGATGATGAACGAGATGAATTCTTCAGTTGGGCGCCCCACAGGACGCCAACAAGAATTCGATTCACGTTGATGCCGAAAAATCTTCGAGCAAGGCCGATAAACCACTTGTGAAGAACCACTTCAAAACCAAGTTTCGATCACGAATGTTGGAATGTTGGATGGATCAAAGTCAAGTTACGAGGATTGAATGTTGGATGAACTGAAGTCACTGACACGGAATGGCAATCCTTTAGTTGTTATTTATTTTTCCTTTATCACAAACTTTACATTGTTATTATAATAAACAAAATAGTTATAGCTTTAAGTTTTGATTACACAAATCGAGACTTTACAACATTGATCACCGCCTCGAGCTGTACGGAAATTAATCTCTACACTTGTCAGACACAGCCTTGTTCTACAAGGCTGCGTCTGACAAGTGTAGCGATTAATTTCCGTACAATGTAGAGATTAATTTCCTACTTGTAAATTTTGTTTTTTTTTTTTAAATTTTTATAAAATTGATGCAATAAAGTAATATTATAGTCATTTAGTTAGCAACTTTCTTGGAAAATTTCATTAGAGTCGATTTTAGGAGTTCTTTATCTCGTCTACTTGAGCCAATCATGGAAACATCCTCGCCTGACTCCAGTTTTTTCTAGAATTTGAAAATTATTCTGAAATCTGGTTTTGAATGGGATTGGGTTTGAATGGGTGTTCTTAAAATCAATCTGAAGCACTCACATTCATTTCCTTGAGATATGGATGCTCAAGACATTCGCTTGCTGTCAGTCTCATTTGCCGGTTCACTTCGAAAATCTTTTTTAACAAATCCATGAGATTTTCCTCTAAAAATTTTCATTTTAACTGCAAGTTTTGACTCACGTGAGAAAAATTGTTGATAACTGGGAAGCCTTTGAAAAGAGACGCTGATTTCTTGCTCAAGAGCGGGTTTTCTTGGACGATAACACCTCAAACGGTCGCCAAAGCTGAGAATGTAAAAAGTGTATTTCAAAATTGACAAGTAGAAATTAGTATTGACATAAGTAGAAATTAGTACAGATAAAACCAAACCTAGAAATCTAGAAATCAGAAAATCTAGAAATCAAACCCACAACGAGGAATAGTAATCATCAGGCAAACCGAGAACGTCCAGAATTCGTTCTTTCACTGAAGCAGCTTTCTGTAAACTATTTACGATAGAGAGCTTATTTTGCTTTGCACTTTGTACTTAATCAGATTAAAATTGCTGTCAGAATTGAATAGTTTTAGCACATGGATGGCTGAGATTTGGACCAAGAGTCTTATACTAGGATTTCCAGCGATGACCTGTCATTGCTGGAAATCCTAGTATAAAACTCTTGATGAGAATACTTATCAATTTCAATCGTTTTAACATACCCCATCCAATGGCATCATCAACCTGCACCCGAGCATCTCCAACGCAACCAGTCCCGCCGACCAAACATCAACTAAATTGTTGCAAACTCTTGAAACTGTATATCACAAACCCCCGCAATCATATCGATCCATTAGAGCCACTTCTAATGGTTGATAGATCATTGGCAAAGTGGGCAAAATAGAGTGAATTCCTTTGCTGTTTGTCGGGCTAAAGGCAAATTTAGCTGTACGGTTTGAACTCCTCACCCGCATACACCGAAATCCAGCAGCTTGATCTGGAACTTCTCCTTGTTCAGGCCAATGTTCTTTGGATTTAAATCCTAGAATTTCTTGAGTTGAAGAACTACATCAAACTACCCGATGCATCACTCCTCGTTGATGCAAAAAGGCGAGGGCTCGAAAAATTTGCACTAACATTGCCGCGAGTTGTCGATGATCTCTCAGTGTTGGGTTTGACGAATTGTCGTTTTTCTTCAGTATTCTGAATGAGATGGTTAAGATTGAGCTGGTAAAATTTGCAAAAGTATTGATCCCAATCCGGATCGATAACGAAAAGTTTCCTTTGATCATTTCCACAACTTGCTGGCTTCAAACTAGTTTAAAGGTCAGCTAGCCAGGTCTGTAGCGTAATCTGGTGTAACATGTTCTGTCCTATGAACTAACCCCAAACTAGGCTTAGCTTAAAATATCACAAACTTGTACAAAAATATAATCTAACCTTAACCTAGTCCTGGTTTAGTTTAATTCTGGGAAATTTCTGTCTGAAACATCCTAAATGGCGAATGATCACCAGTTTCAAATGAAAAACTCTTGTCCTAAACGCCTGGATTCTTTAAAAGTAAAATAAGTTTGTTTAAAGTAAAGAAGAAAACAAAATCAAGTAAAAACCCACTCAAAATAGTACTCCAAATCGACATCCATTCTCTCTGTGACAATCCAAACGAAGCGAATGTCACCGGTCGGTGATTCTTCCCAGAATGAATCCATCATTTGGACAATCTGAAAGTACTCTATAAATTCTAAGTCTAAAAGTCAAAATCCAAACAGATTTCTCTTCTTAACCAACATTCTCATGCACTAAGTACTGGGTGTTTTGCAGTTCTCGGAGAATTTTTGTGTATCCATTGCTCTTTGTCAGATTGTCCTCTCGCACTCTTTCAGCATCAGCAACGTCATAACTAAACTTTAAAACTAAAACGATTAAAATCTAAGTGTTAATTCACAAATCTTACATTGATTTGCAAATTCTGAATGCTAAATTACCCACCGTTTAGCAGCCACCCGGACAAATCTGCCACCAATGTTGAGTAGAGCCGCTCTAAAGTTGTGATTTGTAAAAGATTTGTTAAAAGTGTTATGACAAAGTCATAACTGTAACTTTCAACGATTTCCTGAAGTTGTTTCAAAATCGAAGTGTTTAAAGGAAAAACTCGCATTACAATCCCTTGTACCCCATGAACAATCGAGTGAAAAGTGGTTGGAGGGATAGTTTCGTCTCGAAAGCGGTGATCGTTCTGAATTTAGGAAATTTATCTGTTAAAATAGCCAAAATCAAGTTAAAATGCTAAAGCTTGTCAATATCTTGAATTATAAATGTCTTTGCATCAATGAAAAGGCAAGCAACAAGAGTGATTAACTAAAGCAGACTCACAATAATGTTTGTAACACAATAATGTTATAGGGTGACCAAGAATTACCGCAACACTTCAAAAATGAGAAAATGAGAGAAATAAGAAGAAAAATGGCATTTAATCAATATTTCCTAGTCTTACTAGAACAATTACTAGCTTTCCTGTTTATTTTATGCTGAATGAGATTCGTATCTTTTATATATTTTGCTATTTTGTTGAAGATTGGTGAATTTTGCACACCAAATGGAAATCCGAATGAGAAAATGATGAAAGAGCCAGCGAGGATTGTAAAAGATGAATTTGATTCAAAAATTCAGCAACGAGAACAATCCGAATTACAGGGTGACCAAGAATTACCGCAACACACAAAAGGCCTGGCTTTTAACCAAATATGCAACCCATCTCGAAAACTTAAATATCTTTATTCAACATATAACAATAACAAATTAACAATTAAATTCAAATTTGCCTCCATCGGCATTCAGACAGGCTGACAAACGTTTGGGAAACGCGTTGACCGTGGCGAGCAAATAGGCATCATCGAGGGTATCCCATGCTTTGATCAGCGCCTTCTTCAAACTTTCCATATTTTTATGTGGTTTTGCACATGCCCTGACTTCAAGAACACTCCAGACTGAGTAATCCAATGGGTTAAGATCGGGTGAGCTGGGTGGCCACTCAGAAAACCAGATGAATTCCGGGAAGATCTTTGAACAAAACTCTTGCACTTTCTTTGCCTTGTGAGCCGGCGCACCTTCTTGTTGATAAGTCCGAATTCGATTTTTGAAGTGGTAACCATAAAAATAGGTAAGCAAAAAGTGAAATGGGGCTCATAACATAATACGACGTTGTTGCGGTAATTCTTGGTCACCCTGTAAGGTGAATGGAGCGTATTATAAATTCCCACGTGGTAGGATAAATTTGGATGTGATTTCCGAAGTGATATGTGTGTTTGTTGAGGTGTATTTGAAAGATTTAAGTGGACACAACCGACTACCGGCCTGAACGTCTCCGAAGTCGGAGCCTTAGGAATAAACGACGACCTGTCTTGCATTCCGGAAGATTACTTGTTTATCTATATGAGTAATGATAATCTTTCGTGAGGCAAATAGAATGAAGAAATAGGATAGAAAGGGGGAACATGCTAGGGGAAGGGGAAAGCTTTCTAGTATGATGCCGAATGAATGGTGTTTCAAGTTGAGAGATCGGGCAGTCCGAAGGACCGCATCCTTTAGTCTAGGCCTTAGTCTAGGTCTTAAACTAGGTCTGAAATATTGAAATTTAAAAAGTATCAGTTATTTGCTATTAGTTTAGCTATCATAGCTTATTTTATGAATTTGAAATTTTAAAACAAACAAACAAACAAACAAACTGACCGCATCCGGTTGATAATAACTGGGTACAGCTGCTTCCACTTCATTTTTACTTCTCCATTTTGTGAATAGTATCAATTTGCATGCAGTTTTTTCATTCTCCAACATTTTCTTAGCTAAAATTCACAAATTAAGAAAAATCTCTTTAATAAAAAGTGTAGAATAAATTGAAAATTCAATTTGCAAACTCAATGGCTTTGTTTCAGTAAAAAAAGTTACAATTTTAAGGTTAAGCAAGAAAAATACCTTAGCCAAAAGCAAAAATGTAATCAATTTTTGTCTAAAAACCTTTTTCTAGGAATTTCATTGCAAAAGAAAAATCACATGAGGAAAGAGTCAAAGAAATCAATTGGTTAAGAGAGTCTGATCAAAAAAATTGGCTTGATAACACAAATAGGTAGATTTGATGGTAGAATAGGTAGATTTGATGATAAAACAATATAAAATATCTGTTTTTCCAGTGTGCTGGGTTAGCTAAATATTCTTTTATTCCTAGAAACAATTTTAAAATTTTCCCCGAAAATTCGCTAGCATTTGCAATAAATCTCCTTGTTGCGTTCAATTTTTGTTTGATGATCGTTTGGCGAGATTGGTGAATGATTTTTTGAAGAGCGCTGCCTGAAATCTAGTTTGATATAATCAAAACAAAATTCAATACATTCACTGCCTTCAAATAGATGACCAACAGATTGACTTGATAACACAAATGGGTAGATTTTCGGATAAAATCATACCCTAACTAAAAATTGTCTGAATTATCTGTTTTTAAAGCGGTTTAGCTGAAGGTTTAGCTTTTTAAAGTGGTTTAGCTGAATATTATTTTATTTCTTGAAGTAATTTCACAACTGTCTCGAAAAGTTCGCTAGAATTTTCAACAATATTTCCTTGTCGCGTTCATTTTTTTGCTTGATGATCGTTTGCCGAGATTGGCGGATGCTTTTTTGAGCGACCTGCCTAAATATAATCAAATATCTATAATCTAATCTATAATCTAGTTCAATATAATCAAAATTAACTTGTTACATTCACTGCCTTCAAATAGTCGTGATTGAGCAGCTCGCTGGCTAAGGGTCTTCGTGGATTGATGCAGAGCATTTGGCTGAGAAGATCTTTCAGATTGCTGGCGGTAAGGGTGATTATTAGACTGCGCTTCGAGCAAATGAGGCTTAAAAAGGTGTACGGTGGATTAGTCGCTTAATAGCTTAATACTTAATAGCTAGAAGCTAGAAACGCAGTAAGCTGGTCAGGTCTAGAACTTGTTTAACCGTTTAAGGCTATCTGCGGAGAGACAAACTAACATCATTTTGGCAAAAATCTAGGACTTTTTTCTTTGTCAAGTTTCTTTTCAAAAAAAATAGACATTATATTCACAAAAAGTTAATATCATTAATAAAAGGATCGAATTCAGTTCAGTTTTCACCCTTTTCATTTCACCATTTTAATTCTGAAAGCATTCAGGCAGCTGCTCAAACGATCTGCCTATTTTTGGGGTCAATCCTGAATCTTCATCAAATCATTTGCGTCATTGGCGTTGTTCTGTTGATCAGTAAGTTTACTAGAAAATAAATTTTAATAAAAGCAATTCGCTTAATGATTTTATCACAATCTTAGGCATTTTCTGCTACATTTCCTATATCCGAAATCTATCGGAAAGGAGAGTTTCATCAGAAGAAAAGTTGCCTCAAGAATTCGAATCGACAAATTATTAAAAATTGCAATAGAATGTAAATAAACAGACATTATATTCATAAAAAGTTAATATCATTAATAAAAGGATTTATTGAGCTCATCATTGTCGGCTTTTCTGTTTTTGAACTGTCTGCCCAAAAACATTTCCTTTTAAAACCCTTCTATATTAATTGTGTTGCAAAGTTTTTCACTATTCCAATCATTTGAGTTTGAGTGTTCATTAAATTCTTGAAATCGATGTTTTATAAACAACACATTCCACTAGTAAGTTCTTATCATGAACCAAAAGAAGGCGGAGACGAAATAAATACCGAAAAAGACGCTAGTGACATATCGATTTTTTGCAATTCTCTTGCAAGATTTTAATATGTGAGTTTTAGTTGCGGTTGCCAAGAAAGTTCAATTCAATTACAACTTTTTGAGTACTTTAACACAAATTCACTAAAATGGGCAATTCTTCTACGAAGCGATCAACGGTTTGTTGTTGTTTTTTCTGAAATCATTGTTTGTTTTTTGTTTTTGTTTCATTGTTTTTTCATAATCATTGTTTTTTCCAGGGTGATCCTTCACGAACTCCATCGCAAACGATTCAAATTGATTGTGGGAAAGACACGGAAGGAAAAGCGAGAATAATCACAGCTCTGATTCCTAACGATTATCGACCGGATCTAGCAAGTTTCAGAAATAATTATTTAAACAAATAACCATAATGATTTCATGATGTATTTGATAGTGCTTGTGAGAATGAGATGCTGGTTTCAATTTGATAGTTTGAAAAACGAGATGATAATTTGAATTTAAACTTATCCAGACAAAAGTTTGAGGTGTAAGCTACAGCTGAGTATATCAAACATGAATCAAACTGGGTAAAAGTCTGGAACATGTTCAAAAATAATGAAATTTAGATTTAGTAGCTATGACACAAGATTACTACTAGGTTGATGCAAAAGAAATTTCGTTTTTTACAAACAATAAATTTAATCCTTTAGGCAACAATTAATTCCAAAGAATAAGCACCATCGTTATCTACAAGTTGTAGATAACGATTGTAGTTGTAGTTGCAGACTACAACCAGCTGCGCTGGGCATCCGCTTTCCTATGCTTTTCAAAGAATTTGCATTATTTCCCAAGGTGAAATTAGGTGTATCATGTAGTCGCGCTGAGAAATCTACCGAAACACCATCTCGGCGGGTTTTCAACTTTTTCAAAATCTGACTCCAAATTCGGAATCAGCGAATTTTTTATTTTAAAATGGATGTTTTCAGTCCCCTAGCAATTCCCCGAAAAAAGCCTCGAACGGACGGACGAGCGTCGTTATATATAGTAGATATCCCTCCAAAGTTGCTTGAGATTGCGGATTCCCTTATCGAAGAACTCTTGGCTCTCTGATTAAAAGTAGTCGGTCACCCAAATCTCGACCTCTTGCGCATTCATAAACTGACAATTCGCAAGACAATGTTGCATCGATCTGAAGAGGTGAAAATCGGAGGGTGATAAGTCTGGACTCTATGGCGCAGTAAGACCTTCCATCCTAATTCCTCTAACTTCATCCAAGAAGCTGTGTGTGTGAGCTGGCAAGTTGTCACGGAGGAAATTTGAATAGAACTGCTGCTGAATAGAACAAGGTGCTGAATAGAACTGTTCTTTCTGAGCTCTAATAATTCAAAATAAATTGATATTCCACTAGCAAGACAACATCACTGTGTACCCATGATAATCCGGCTTTGGAGTTGGAATTGGCATTTGACCTTTGCTGAGTCATTATCTTTTTCGAGAAGTGTTATCGATAAATCCACTTCTCGTCTATCGTCAAGATATTCTCAAATAGATGGCTTCTTTTCGACTTGAGAAGCAAGATATGGCTGATCAAAACGCGTGCTCCGAGATTCTCGGTGTTCAATTAATCTGTAACCCATCCTTCATTACAATCAGTCTTTCCGATTATTTCCAAATGGCGGACAATTGTTGATTGATCTTGTTCATTGATTGATTGATCTTTGATTGATCAAATTGATCTTTAATTGATCAAATTGGTCAAATTGACTGACTTAGAAAAGAGCTCCTACTTAGAAAAAGCGTAAAAATAAAGTAAATATCCAAAAGTACAAAAATACAAAAGAAAATCATAAGATTTCCAAATTAAAAACAAGAAGATTTTATACCAATCAAAATTTCTTTTGCATCAACCTTGTAATTACGAATTTACCATATTTTCAAACTAAAATATTACATGAATCTGCTCCTTAAACTCTTTTAACCTCTTATTCTCATTGTAGAGCGACACCAACTATCGCTGGGAGGAGCTAGATGAAAAGATATACCACGAAATTGGCCAAGGGAGGACCGTGATTGCTGTGTGAGACATTTTCCGCAAAATTTCTCATTGTAAACTTGCTTTCAAGATAAAACCTTTTCCAGAGCGGCTTTGCGCGAGATCAAAGGCTCCTTTGGAATCAAAACAGAAAGAGTCGTTTTGAAAAAGTAACTTTCATACCACTTTTGACCTTTGAATCAAATTTTGGGTACAACATCGATGGTATCGTTACAAATCGAGTCCTATATGGCTACACGTCATTGCTACGAGAGTTCCAAAATCTTCAGTATTTGATGCACGATAATGTAAACTATTGCTTCAAAATTTTTGATAACCCAAAATAGTTTAGATCGCTGTAATGAAAGACTCTTTTTGGAGTTTTGATGAGCAGGGGATCTTGAATCATTTGTGGATTGTCACAGAGAGAATGGACTTCACGCTAGCGGATTTTTTCAGGTTTGTTGGTCATATGAGCCATCTTTAACAAGTTTCTAGATGAAATTCAGACATACAGCGAAAAAAGACTATACGCCAACGCCAAGGCTACGTGATCATCGCCATCTCGGAGCGATTCTCGTTCAGACCTTGCAAGCACTCGATTACCTGCATCAACGTGGGATCATACATCGGGTTGGTTGCTGTAATGTTTAGTTGAAAGCTTAATTCATTAAGTTGCTTTCTAGCTAACTGGGGAAAGGCATCAGGTCAAGGTGGCCTTTTAATAGGAGAGCCACGGGACTTTATACAGGGGCTGGGCTTGGAGGTGTCAGCTTTATCTGTGACCATTTGGTGCTACCTATATGTTGTTATTTTATATCTTTTGCTTTTTCATGTTTACCCTTGTTATTTAATATAGTTTCTGAGATTATATAGTGTTTTTTAGAGCTGGTCAAGCCGAGTGTTCATCGAAACTCGATCATAGCGTTGCATCAATGGGGGCTTTTGACACATGTAATTTCTCAAAATTGGAGTTTCTACGAGGCTCGTGAACAAAACGATTAAAGGCTTCAAGGAATTGGGAACAAATACTGATAGAGCTGGTCGAGAAAAATGGCGTTCTGTAGTGAATCAGTCCAACATCAAAAAAGTGCGAGAGAGGTTGTGATCTCAGAACTCAGAACGATCAGTCCGGTGATGTCATGCTAAATGGGAATTTCTAAACCTACAAGCTAAGGTGTGTGCTAAACCACATCGAACAGTTGACTCGTTAAAGAAAGCGCTCCTTAAAGCATGGGAAGAGCTTGATGATGCCTACTTGCATGCCACAGTCGACGCCTGGCGCCCACGTCTTGAAGCGTGCGGGGCCGCTGACGGAGGGATTTTTGAAATTTGAGTTTTGTTAACATCTAAATAAAGATTGCTATAAAAACTTTGTTATCTTTGGGCGACTTGTTTTTTGGTTTGTACCGACTGATTTTTCGGGGCCCATAATTATGACGCACCTTGTAGAATCGGCTATGCTGATTCTGAATATGCTTCTACTCTTTCCAAAGGAGCTCCGTTAGGTGAGATACCTGGCATCAAAGTTTAGGCTGATTTTTGGGAGTCCTTATAAGCTTTTCTCTCTTTTTTAAAAAGAGAACTAGTGGCGCAGTGGGTAGTGTGCTTGCCTCCAAAATCTTTTGCCCGGATTCGAGTTCGCTTCCGGTATACTCTTTTTACTTTTTTGAAAAAATGATTAGAAAATCTGAATTGAATTCCACTATTTTCTGGAATTCAATTCTATCCCATTCCGCGTATTGAATTCCACTATTTTTGCATAAGCAGTTCGTGAAATCGTGAACAACCGAATCCTGAAGTCCAGCAACAACAAACAACATTTATGAACAAAGCATTTATGTTCCTAAATCATTTCTAAACATTTTCCCGTCAATCCAAGTCAAAATAAATGAATCCTGTTGCCATAACCATTTTCTAGGATGAATTTCAGAATGTGAAGCCAGAAAACATTGGAATGAGCAAGAAGTGCCACTTGAAACTCTTTGATTTTGGCGTTGCAAGGTCGGTTCACAAGAAATCGCTTTACTCTTTAAATTCTAGGTCAACTAACACCGATCTAACAGAACTGGTTTCTACACCTCTATATCATCCGTTAGAAGTGCAACTGTTCGAGCAATACGATTGGGGAGGTACTCTAACTTCAAAGCGTTTGAGTTGAGCTGTTTAGTTGACATTTGGGCAACCGGCTTGGTGGCACTTGAATTTCTCAATCATTCATTATACCCGGCAAATGTGAACTCGGTATGTGACTGTTCTTCTCGCTAAAGTGTTTCTAAAACGCGCTCTAAGAAAACCTACCGTAATGCAGGAGTTGTTTTGGCGGTCTTAAAAGGTGCCCTACGAAAGTCGGTCGCCCTAACGTAATTCAGTCATCTTTCTTTTGCAGCACGTACTGGTCCTGGACGTCCGTGTCCTCTTACGGGGCTAATATTAAGAGATATAGGCTCAGAGAAGGTTAAAGTATGTAAAGTAGTTGTACGTAAAAAAGCTTTGTGAAGTAAATTTCCACAATAAAAGATAAAAAGACAGCAAGCAGTGTTTGTTATGATTTTTAGCTATTAATCAATTAATTTTAGAAATTTTTTATTTAATACTTTTAAATTGTAAAGAAAAGGTAGGAAAGGTGAAGTGATTTCGAGCAAGCGCCTTCAAGAGCGCGATTTACTCGCGTTAATAAAGAATCAACTTCTACATTCATGCTACGATTACAGCTTTCACGGTAACCAGAGTACGGTAGCTTTCCCCAAAGAGCGAGTTTTAGAATCCGCTTCGGTTAAAGAACAAAATCTGGTTGCTTTGAGCAAGGTCTAACCTTTTAGAAAGACAAAATCAAACAGAGAATTCTTGACGTTCTTGGCGTGCCGGAAGACAAGTACAAAGAATTGTGGGTTCATCAAAAAATTATTAATTACTGGAAATTCCTAAAACCTACTTGAGAAATATTTTTTCAGCTTTAAACACAAGTTGAAGAATGAGGTGCAACGTGACGGTTGCTTTGACGCTTTTCTAACCACGGCTTTTGAGCGACTTGAACCCGGACGTCGGGATTTGAATGGTAAGCTACATACTTTGCATTCTAAATACTATCGAAAAACTGTTAGTTTACAATTCCAATCAAAAATGTACTGAGTTGATGGTTTCAGAAGACAATTGAGTCTTAAGCGGCTAATTTCAGAAGAGAACTTGCGGGATCTTCTCAGCAAAATGCTTTGCATCAATCCACGAAGACCGCTGGCAAGCGAGCTCCTTGAGCATGAATATTTGAAAATGCTGCAAGTAAGAACTTTTAATCATCTGAAATTTCATTTTCATTTTCATTTTAGAGTGCCATGACGAGGAAACAAATTGAGAACTCGACCAACGATCAAGTCACGGATCACGCGAAAAATCAACGCGACAAGGAAACGCTGATCAAAATCCTCAAGAATTTTTCGAGACAATTGTGAGAATGAAATAAAATAATGCTAGTGATGTCCACCTTTTCTGTATTTTTGTTTTACAAATAACCAATTCACCTATTGACCTATTGCGCGAAATGAGACAAAAATCGTTTTCGATAGGATTTTTACGTTTAAATAGCCAATTGACGTCGAAAAATGGGGGGGAGCCGAAAGTAAATTTTTTTTGAATTTTTGAAATCCCTTCGACAAATTTTTTTGAAATCGAGCTTTAGTGGTTTTACCGTGTTGAATTTCAGCCATTTTTTATTGCCGGCGCAAAATTTTGAAAACAAAAGCCTAAAACAAAAATGTAAACGGCAAGTTTTATTCTACGGATTTTTCTCTATCTTTTGATATCAAAAAGATAAAAATTGATATATTGTATATATTGCTATAGATTGCTCCATTAGAAAAGTCTAATATTTTTCTACAAAAAAGCGTTCAAATTTTATGAAAATGTTTTGTCTCTAGTTTTTTATTGGGACGCGGAGTCGGGTGGTCAAAAAAGCTGACAACCGGAAGACGCTTTGGTCCACAGAAACCTATCCTGGTGTCAATAGATAAAAGATGGAGCGTAGAAAGTTAGGTTTATAGCCGAATTTTCAGCATAACCTTAACCGTTTAAGGCTATCTGCGGAGAGACTCTAAGACGTTTTGCTTTTTGCAAAACTCTAAGACTTTTTGCTATGTCAAGTTCCTTTTCAAAAAAAATAGACTTCATAAAAAGTTAATATCATTAATAAAAGGATTTATTGAGCTCATCATTGTCGGCTTTTCTGTTTTTGAACTGTCTGCCCAAAAACTTTTCCTTTTAAAACCCTTCTATATTAATTGTGTTGCAAAGTTTTTCACTATTCCAATCATTTGAGTTTGAGTGAATGGTTCTTCATCAATCAATTTCCGATAATTTCTTTACCTATTTTATCTCCATTGCCTTTTTTTACCTATTTTATCTAAACTAAGACTGCCAAACTCTTATCGCAAGCCTGTAAAAGGACTAAGAAAAAGAGACTAGACAAAAACACAAAAGCTATTGGTTTTAGTCTCCTCAATCTCCTCAATCGTTAAGAACTGAATCACAAACAGTTTAAATAAAATAGTTAAAGGGTAGTGTCGTTCAATTAACATTAATTTAATACTCTTACACTTAACAAATGAAAGAAATGGCCAAGGGGTAGGTTATGCTAGTGTGCTTTTATTAGCGGAGAAAATATTCAGTCAGATTATTCAAATTCTAAATCGTGTCCCGTTACAATACTTGTCAGATAATTTCCTCTTTAAATAGTGAACAAAAGTTCTCATTCTTGTTGAGATTCCTACCTAGCTTTGCTTTGTTTTAGGTAGCGGCTACGATATGCCTATTTTCAGGCCCAATCCTGAATCTCCATCAAATCATTTGCGTTATTGGTGTTTTTCTGCTAAGAAGTAAGTTTACTGGGATATAAATATACTCAAAACATTTTGATCAATGATTTTATCACAATTTTAAGCATTTGCTGTTACTTTTCCTTCTATTGGACACGAGAATTTTGGCAGAAAAGTTACCACAAGAATTTGAATCGACAAATTCTTAAAATTGTCTCAATGAATTGTAAATAACTTGTATTTTGTGAATAAAATGGGAAATTCTTGAAATCGATGTTTTATAAACAACACATCCCACTTGTAAGTTCTTATCATGAATCAAAAGAAGGCGGAGACGAAATAAATACCGAAAAAGACGCTAGTGGCATATCGATTTTTTGCAATTCTCTTGCAAGATTTTAATATGTGAGTTTTAGTTGCGGTTGCCAAGAAAGTTCAATTCAATTACAACTTTTTGGGTACTTTAACACAAATTCACTAGAATGGGCAATTCTTCTACGAAGCGATCAACGGTTTGTTGTTGTTTTTTCTGAAATCATTGTTTGTTTTTTGTTTTTGTTTCATTGTTTTTCATAATCATTGTTTTTTCCAGGGTGATCCTTCAAGAACCCCATCGCAAACGATTCAAATTGATTGTGAGAAAGATACGGAAGGAAAAGCGAAAATAATCACAGCCCTGATTCCTAGCGATTATCGACCAGATCTAGCAAGTTTCAGAAATAAATTCTGTAAACAAATAACCATAATGATTTCGTGATGTATTGGGTTGGTGAACTGAAAACTGCCGGACTTTGAACTAAAATGTATTCAACATAAAACCATCAGTTCATTCCAAATAATTTTCATTATTATTCACGACTTCTGCCCATTTTACAGGCAATTTGCGGATTCCTCTTTCGTAGTAGGATTTTGGTTTGTGTGTGAGACAAGTGTGAGACTCAAAAATGGAGGACTGGAGCTGTCCGATGTCTCAGTTTGAGCACTTTCTTCAAAAGAAACCCATTTTGGTGTCAATAGGAAAGAAAGTGTAGAGAATCAAAAATTAGGCTTATAGCCAAATTTCCAAAAAGATACACTTAATAGTTTCGCTTAAAATGAAAGTTTTGTGAAAATTCGTATTCGTGCTCGCCTCCAAAACTTTTTTGCCAGGGTTCGAGTTCGCTTCCGGTATAGTCTTTTGGGAAAATGATTAGAAAATTTGAATTGAATTCCACTATTTTGTGGAATTCAATTCAATTCTATTCCGCGTATTGAATTCCACCATTTTTGCATAAGCAGTTCGTGAAATCGTGAACAACTGAATCCTGAAGCAACAACAAACAACATTTATGAACAAAGCATTTATGTTCCTAAATCATTTCTAAACATTCTTCCGTTAATCCAATTCAAAATAAATGAATCCTGTTGCCATGACCATTTTCTAGGATGAATATTTCAGGATGTGAAGCCAGACAACATTGGAATCACCAAGCAATTCAAATTGAAACTTTTCGATTTTGGAGTTGCAAGGTGAATTTCGAAATGCATCTGCTATATTCAAAACTTTAGACTAATCAACGATACGGAAGATTTGACGGAGATTCCGATGGAATATACCGTTTCAACTCTTTTATACCAACCGCTTGAAGTGGAACTAGTTGAACAATATGATTCGGGAGGTACTTGAGCTCAATTGAAATTTGAAACAAACTGGTTTAATAACTTTTCTATATACTTAATAACTCAATACTCAACAACTTTAGTTGACATTTGGTCGACGGGCTTGCTTGTACTCGAGTTTCTCAATTGTCCACTCCATCCGCTGACAGTGGACTCAGTAAAAGTACTTTGTTTTCTATAAAGTGCACTTGAGAAAAGCTACCGTAAACTGGTTACTTTTCGAAAGCAATTAATTTGGTCAATACGTCAATACGGCAGCTTTTCTAGGGTAGCTTTTCTTGGAGTATCTAAAGTTTTTCATTTTTCAAACAATCTTTTCATCTCATTTAGAAAGTGAAGATCAGGCAAAGGATTCTGAATGTTTTTGGGTTACCGGATGATAAGTACAAGGAGTTGTAGGTTTTATCTACCATTGATTCTCAACAAGGTACAGATTTCCTGCTTCTTTAGTTTCAAAAACAGGCTTCTAAGCGAGAGGTCACGAGATGGGATGTTTAACGATTTTCTGACCGAAGCATTTAAACGACTCGATTCATCGGTTCAGGATTTGAATGGTAGGACCATTTTGTTCGAATTTTACCTAGAATGTGTTCCTCTCAGTTAATGCGTTTCTTAAAGCGCGCGGTGGCGCAAAAAAGCCACCATAGACGCGACGTAAATTTTACATTTAAACTTTCAAATGCAAATTTTTCTTCGAAAAGCTTTGTTCAAATTTATGGGGATGGCTAATTTGCCCCAAATTTCGGCCAAATCTTGCCTTAAACGTTCGATTTCTTTTAGCTTTTCCTTTTTAGTTCGATTTCTTTTGGCTTTTCCTTTTTATCAATTGCGTTTCTTTCTTCTTTTCTTAAAAAGCAATTAACTCCGGTAATTTTTTCATTTCTTTTACTTACTACCTCTTTTGCTAATCAGTGCAAATTTGCTAAAGAGACATACTCATCATGTTATGCTATATGAATTCGATAAAGGCTCAACTTCAAGTCTAGTTCTAGATCACAGCTCTAGATCACAGCTCTAGATCACAGCTCTAGATCACAGCTCTAGATCAACAAAAGTATATGGTCATGACCCCCTCTGTAATCGATGGTTTCACAAGTTTAAGGATGGAGACAAATCTTTAATTTGAAACTTTGCAGAAGAAAAACTGTCCTCGTTATGCATTTGATGTTGTTACACATGTTGTTACTGATTTCTGTTGCTCGTAGTGTAAAGTTAATCTAAAAATAAATGTTACTTGATAAAGAATTAAGTTGAAAGTAAATCAACAAAAAAAATCCAGGGGATACCGTTGCTTGTAACAATATGTATTCGAAACAATTTGCATAAATCAATTTGTTTAACCGTCGCTTTAACCGAGTTTAACCGCCATTAACTAATTAATCGACTAAAAAATTGCAAATTCATTCGGTTAATTGTTTAAGCGCGAGGAACACACTCTAGTTTTACCTATCAATTGCACAATTGAGTCTTAAGCGGCTAATTTCAGAAGAGAAGCGGGATCTTCTCAGCAAAATGCTTTGCATCAATCCACGAAGACCGCTGGCAAGCGAGCTTCTCGATCATGACTATTTGAAAGCAATGAATGTAAGAACTTTTAATCAGCTGAAATTTCATTTTCATTTTCATTTTAGTCTCAAATAAAGTGGAAAAAACGAGTTCAAATCTCGGACAACGATCAAGTCCCGAGTCACGCGAAAAATCAACGCGATAAGGAGACTTTGATCAAAATGCTCAAGAGCTTTTCGAGACAATTGTGATAATGAAATAAAATAATTCTAGGGTTGTCCCCTTTTTTTGTATTTTTGTTTAAAAATAACCAATTCACTTGACCTATTGCGCGAAATAACGCAAAAAAAATCGCTTTCTATAGGATTTTTACGTTTAAATAGCCAATTGACGCAGAAAAATGTGCTGAAGCCGAAAATAAAAGAATTTTTGAAATCCCTTCGGCAAATTTTTTCAAAATCGAGTTTTAATGA